TAGAACCAATACTTAAATTTCTGAACTGTTTCTGAAATATATTTGGTATTGCCAATTAAGACATGAAAATGCAGAAAGATAGAAAAGTGTTGTATTTTGATAATTTCTGTTTTATGTAATACTCTTTAAAATGGGTTTGGGGCTGGGAGAGGGATGAAAGGAGGAAGACCAAGCAGAAGGGGGAGGGGAGGGGAGAACGTGGAGGGGGTGTCTGAGCTGGAGTTCAACGTGAACTGATAGGGCTGAGATTAAGATGTGCAGTTAAAGGCTCTGCCTAACCAATTTGGGGACTAAGTTGGTAGTCTGTATTTTGACATTTTAACTGAGTTGTGGCTTTGCTCACTGGGTTGTGTCACTACTTTGGAAATTTGAGGAGGACACTGGGGGCTGAGTGGGGAGTTAATGTGAGACATGGCTGGTTCTTTGTGTACCAGGATCTTTGCAGAAGGCTGTGAAGTTTTATTGTGGTGTTTGATTTCCCCAACCCCAGCCTTTCTGGGAGAGGTTTGAGAAATCTTTGTGGAGCGACAGACAGTGTCAAAGCCAACAAATTGGAATAATGTTCTTCATCTGGTAACTCACCCAAAAGTGACATTCAGGTGCTTACTCAGTGCTGCATCATTTCCATATCAGTTGGTCATGTTCTCTGGGTTAGTAGTTCTGTTATGACATCACAAATGAAAGTCAGCAGTGAGGAAAGCAGAACATAAGCATAGGCATCCTCAATAAAAGAGGTTGATAGAGAGGATTAGCACAGAGCTGAGGTGTAGTCTCTTGTGTGTTTCTAAAGTCACTCTTAAAAAAAAAAGATTTTGTACCTTTTTACATACATATTAAAATTATGCTCCTGATACTTATCACAAGGTCTGTTGTCAAAAGGCTTACCAATCACAAACAATGGGAACAATCTTTTGTAACATTTTTGAGTGTCATGTGTATATTTTACATTGATAATTACTCTTTTCACCCTGCAGACATTTGTCCTATCAGGGACATTTTGTCTCTTTTTTTGAGGCATTCCATATTGTCACTGGCATTTGCCAAACATGTCTCCAGTCTTACTTGAGATCATGGTGTATCAGAAAATGAATGTTGTTCACATAGGCCAAATGAGAGTTGACCCATCTGGGAAAATTCCAGCGAGGCAGTCCATACAAGTCAGGAATAGGATTACTATATACAGCGACAAATAACATGTACACACCAACCATGCACTTCCTTGATGCTAAGGAAGGCAGTTTATCTTTTAGGATATTTCTGGAAGCCTCATACAGACTTTTTGTGGGTTTTGGGTACTTCCATCATTTAATTACGGTTTGGGGATTCACTGTCTTAATTAAATTTAATCCTCTTGTTGATGTAACTCATTCATGAGGAGCTTTTTAAAACTGGATATTCAGTGCCTCAGGAATAGGTTTGAATTGCCATCTTTTTACAAAGGTCCCATTGGCAGTTGTTTGGGAGCTTCATGGGGCCTGTTGTTGTTCTGGTGTCTCATGTACTTGGTGGTCCAACCAGGGATGTGGTGCCATTTCACAGTCATTGGCCTTGATCACCATCTCCATGCTTATGAAGGGTGTGAAAGAGCAAAGTGGTCAGCCCAGCAGAAATGTGTACCTTGGTGTGTAAATGCGGGGTTCTGCTCAGGAGAACCCTATTCAGCTGCAGAATTCTGCCTCTACCTTCTCTATTGGGGTGAACTGCAGAGAAATCCTGTCTTCAGGATCTCTCATTTGATAAAATATAAGGCTTTCTTCACTCACCACCTTGCAGTTAATTCTACTGCTGAAAAACTGTGGTCCAATTTATTTGTTTATCCACTCCACACAATAAGGTGTTGCAGATGGCAATTCATAAGATTTCTTGAATTGATCTTGACTTTTATTACTGATGTAACTTCTGGTGAAAAAGTACTCTGTATCTCAAGTCACCAAAACAGACCTTTAAAGATACTTTCTTTCAGCAATAATCTGAATTCACCTGGATCTCAGAATCTTCAGAATCATGGATCAGGCAAGTTATGACTTGCCACAATTTAGACTGCTTACACTTCTAGAACATCGCTAGTTTAGGAGCAATGTTTGTTTGGTGCATAGAGAATTATTTGTCTTTTTTGTGTTTGTGCACCATAAGCCCTATTTTAAGGAAATTGCAGTGGGCTGGATGGATTTAAACCAAGGAACTAAATGAAAAGTACTGGGTTTCCATCAAGCAAATTACTTCAGGATTTAAAGTACATTCCTGTGATGTGAATGTATGGATATGATGAATAGTGTGTTGCTTCTATAGAACCTCTTAGTAGTGCTATGTATAGTCTAAAGGTAAATGCCAATTTACATATTCTTCAACATAATTCATCTCTTTTATAACAAATGTGGCCTTTATTGCTCGGTGTCCTAACTTTTTTAACTTAACGTGAGTTAGAGAATTTTCTATATAGGCACTTAAAAAAAAAGTGTTGTTTACTATTCCATTTGGGCTCTGTGCCATTTATTTCATAGGCCAGAGATTTTTTTTATCAAAAAATGTTTTTATTGTGTTTTTATGGAGATAAATGTGGATGAAAGACATTTCAGTCAAGCAAGGTACCTGGTTTTTCAGTGCCTTTTAAGCACATATGGTTTAGAGTTCAGAGTTTGAGCTAGTTAACCAGTAGTAAGAAGAATTTATCCTTGCCTTATTTCCCTCCTCCAATTTCTCTGCCAGTGTGTGGTGCTTAAGGGACCAGTTTAAGAAATATCTGTTTATTTTTAAAAATCACTTTGAACGCATTGCTAAGTGTATATATTGATATTTAATAAAAGGAGTATTAAGATTGGGAATGGTCTTTCTAAATGCGGGTGGTGATACCTGTGTTTTGGCCTCCAAGGATTTCTAAGGTATGTGTGCAAGATGCTCAAGAAAGATAAAGTGCAGTTTATATTCAGGAATATTCGAGAGATGGAACCTGATAGTTTGGGGTTTTGAGAGTGGGGTGCTATCCGTGGTGCTGAAATCGACTGCATGCTGGGAAGGCTCTGAAATATTGGACGCCAAGGACACACCTATGTAATAGTTTTAAAACCACACCTCCCATCTGTAGCTGAGTCTCTTTAATTTCTCTTGAAGTGCCGGATGCCCCAGGGAAAGCTGAGAGCACAGGCAACATGAGGGCAAGCATTAGCTGCAGTGAGCAGTTCTGATATCTGGAGCAAGGAAAGGATCTCAAAATGTGAAGTATGGCCCTTTTGGCCAATAGAGACTATTTAAATCCTGTCCTGCCATATTTCTTAAAAATGGACTTTTGCTAGTGTAAGAAGATTGTTCCTAAATTAATGAAACCATGATGAGAATGTTACAGTTAGAATTTACACCTCATGATAGGCAGTCATTGCTTAAAAGCCTTTAAAAAAGATTTTAATTAATTAATTATTTTTAAGTATTTTTTGTTGATTATGCTATTACAGTTTTCCCAGTTTTTCCCCTTTATCCCCCCTCTGCCCAGCCCCCCAGACCTCCAGCATACTCACCCTTAGTTCATGCCCATGTGTTGTACATATAAGTTCTTTGAGTCCTCTGTTTCCTATGCCATTTTTATCTCTCCCTGTCTATTTTATGCCTACTAATTATGCTTCTTCTTCCCTGCACCTTTTCCCCTCTATTCCTCCCTTCCCCTTCCCCACTGAAATCCCTTCATGTGATGTCCATTTCTCTGATTCTTAGGCATTCACCTGGGCAGGGCAACCCTCTTTGCTGTCTGTGGGGGAGGGGCCAGAGAGGGAACATTGCTGCTTGCCTGCTCATCTTTAGTGCATTTTCCAAGGGACTCTTGTGTGAGACTGGGTGTTTCTCCTACCGTGGCAATAACCACAGTCCAGTCAAATCTGAGTATCAGTTTCCCCTTAAGTCAGCCCCACCCACTGAGCCCAGAGCCTCTCTGTAGCCAGCCCTGACCACCTGATCCACTGCCTCAGAATGATTTTTCTCAGCTGCCTGCGCAGTCTGCCACCTTACTGGTCTGGTTGTTCTGGTTGATTTTTTCTTTAATTCCTTGGTTGTCAGAGTTCCATGCAGTTTGATTTTCTGTCACTTCTGGTTGTTTATTGATTTTAGATTGGTTGTACTGCTCCTTTGGTTGTGTGAGAAAGTAAAGGGTTTCTACCTATGCCTCCATCTTGGTGGGAACCTTGTATCTATTTATTTATTTTTAGAGAGGGGTAAAGGAGGGAGAATGAGAGGGTGAGAGAAACATCATTGTTTGAGATAAAGTACAATCAGTGCTTCTTGCATTTCCCCACCTGGGGAGCTGACCTGTCACCCAGTCATGAGCACTGACTGGGACTCGAACCTGCAACCTTTGCATTTGTGGGATGATGCCCAACAGACCGAGCCACACACCAGTCAGGGCCATTGCTTAAAAGTTTTGTATCTACACTTCTGATTATCTGTAAATGTTTTTCAAGCCAGATTTCAGCAAGCATTCAGAAATACAAAACCAGTTTGTTACTTTCGCAGTCCTTTCTGAACTCTGTACATGCCAGTCTTCCCAGGGACCTCCTTCCCAACTCCCAGTGTCCCCCAAAATACCAGTTCTGATTTTTGCATGGATTTATACTTCAATTATGCAGTAATTGTCCAGAGACACTTTGAGAATGACAATTTATATGTGTCTGCAGTAAAAACATCTAATGTACACTCTTTTGTGTATATTCAGTAAATCCTCAAGGATATTTTCTCTAGGATTGATTGAGTTTGAATGAGTAGGAAACCTACTTCAAAATAAATGTCATTGCAGAGGGAGCAGATTATTGTGTTGTGTTCAAGTACACTTAATATTTTGGTATCAGCCCAAGTTTGTATTTAGTAAATGTACTAGTAAGTGCCTTTTGGGTTACAGTGCATTTATTATGGCACAGCTGGAACTTATGAGTGCCTTGAAATAGTAAAAAGTACTGAATGTTTTTGTTTGTTTAATCTAAGCCTTGAAGGTAAAAAACCATGGGATTTCTTTTTCTTTAAAGCCGGAGATACAGATGACCCACCAAGAATTACTCAAAACCCTGTTATCAACGGGAATGTAGCCATGAGTGAGGGGCACAACAACACAGAAGAAGATATGAAGGATGGTAAGTGCATGTGGGTTGCTTATTTTGATTGGGCAGAAAACTCTGTTGGAAACACAAATAGGTGTGATGTACATTTTTTCCTCACGTACTTCTGAGTTTATTAAAAGCAGCTAGTTTTTTAGGAGGTGGTACTGAAGAAAAATTAGCTGTTTTGGTGTTAAATTCCAAGATTACCCACAAATTTCAAGGTAAGTTGATTGTCCCCAGCCTAGGTGAGGAGGTTTAAATATAGGAGTTTATAATAGATGGGTGTTTACTCAGGTGTGCAATTTTCCTGCCACGTTACTCTCCTTTTCCTTCTTGTTTGCAGCAAGGTACTTCTAGACATTGGAACTTGGCTTTCCATTGCATTCTTATTGTGTGTTTATCAGTTGTCTGTACCCCACTCCCATTAAATATGAAATCAGACCAAGCTTTGGGCTTCATTCTCCCACACTAACTTTTGGTCTATACCTTCTATGCAAAAAACATGTGCATATGTACATGCATGGCTATTTTGTGCCTAGGGAATCACTTTCTCTTGAGGCAGTTTCTTCCTTGTAATTTATTAGATTATGTGACCTGTACATTTGCAAGGTCAAAATCGTGAGCAGATAGCAGCCAGTAATCACTTTATGCATTCCCTGGAATCTTGCAGTGTAATATGAAACCATGTTTTGTCAAAAGCATGTCCATCAATCCTCATGAGGGTTGTGTCCTTCCCAGGGGTGTAACGGGGCAGTTGAAAGAAACCTCATTAGCCACGGGCTGCACCACCAGAAGGACTGCTGTTCAGACCTCCTGCCAAAAGTTCAGCCTCCATGAGAAACTGCAGCTGTAGTTGAGAGTTCTCTCAGTGCAGTTTACCCCCTGGCAGCTGGTTGAGGCAATACCTGAGGAAGGTAAAGAGGCGTGGTGTAAACCCTGCTGCTTTGTTACCTGTGGAGTGTGCTTTCCACTCTAGACCAAGGGCAATGGTGTGGGTGTGGTCTCTTTGATTGCTGGGCTTTTGGTTTTATTTTAGACACCGGAGCTACCAAAAGTGATTCAGATAATGCCGGGGGAAAGCACAGCCAGGTCTCATGTGCCAGGTTTGAGTTAAGGACCAATTTTAGCCACTTGTGGAGCAGTAGGTTGTCCAACCCAGTCGCAACCCTCCCAGTCTAGTTCCCACAGAGCAATTTCATACTGATAGTTCCCTTTGTGTTTTTTGGGTGGAGTGCATGGGAGAAAGCACAGGTACAGATAAAAGGGCAGGGTGTCTCAGCCTCGGTTCTGTTGCCTTTTTGGGAGGGCCATTCTTTGTTGTAGGGGGCTGTCCTGTGCATTTTAGGATGCTAGTGTCATTCCATCCCTATTCCCCCCCCCATTCCCTCCTCTCTCCAGTTGTGACAATCAAATATCTAGACACTGCCTGGTGTATCTTGGGGAGCTGTAGAGGACCAGTGTTATGAGATCATAATGTATGTAAAATCCCTTTCCTCTCTAGGCAATTCTGCTAAATTATTAGTGGTAAATAATGGTGCTGAACCACAGAAACTAAAAGTGGGGATGCTCCTGTTGGGAATTACCAAATGGAAAAAGCACATCATAGGAAAAAGGAGAGTGGTCTTCAATAGCACTTTCTCCCTGGTTTGGATTTTAGGTGCCTTCTGAAAGGCCCAGGAGTAAGAGAGTGACAAAGTTCATTTCTATTTGGTAGCAAAGGGGGACGGGAGGGAAGTGGTTCTGGTTCTAGGAGTAGAAGCCTTACTTAAGGGCAGCGTTTCTGCAGCTGTGATGTGTATTTCAAAAACACTCTTCTGCAGGACCTAAGTGTGCTGTGAGTCTAGGAAGTCTGAAGAGTGCTAGGCTAAACAAATTTCTGTACTATAGTAGTTTTTTGAGTCACCAGTTTCTGAGCATCTTTCTCCAAAAGACTCTTTGTTAATGATTCCCCAAGACTCTGGACTTTAGAACTCCTTTTTCCCCAACCTCCTTTTAGCATCTTGTTTGGAAAACACTGGATTACAATGATCAGTGCCTTATCTGTGCAGAAAGGAATAGGGCATGTTTCCTATAGAAAAGTTGAATAGCTAATAGCACAGATTAGAAAGATGTCTGTGAGGTAGAGAACGTTTCCAAATCCTGTTAACATAGAATTGTGGGAAAGTATCAAAATCGTTGTCTAGTTGTGCTTACTTACTGCACTTTGTTTTTAGTTTCTTACTGTTTTGCCTGGTGTGACCATGGGAAGTTTTAGAGCAAATGGAGCCTCTGCAGAGCTAGATGAATCTGCACATGTAGATGGATCTAGATTGAGATTGTTGGTACCCATGAAAGTAATTTCTGGGAATTAACTAGGACTTGTAAAGACTTGTATTTGGATGAATAATTGAGGTTTATTAAAATTAACTGCAAGGGTGCCATTTGGGAAAACTTCAGGCTAACTAACCTCTCTGATTCAGAAACCCAAAGTATTAATCTTCCTCCACTTTTTCATGCAACCAAACCCTAAGCTGGTACACTGGCCTTTGCCCTATGAAGATAAGGCTGTTTTCAAAATGGACATTGGTATCTGCAGACTACAGGAGCCAGTGCTGCTCTTTGGGGACAGGATGGGAAGGAAGTGGGTTATCAGGTTTTCTGACTGAGAATGTATGATGACAGCAGTTAACATGAGCTCCATCATCCTCCTATTATTTACAATAAAATGATGCATGGAGTAATGACATAGGTGCTCTGTGGCATCGTGACAGCTGAGAGTTTCTATTTGGTTGAAATATTAATACTGAGGGATATGGGGTCTCCTTCCTAATACCAAGTGTATTGCTTTTGAAAAGATTATTAATTTTGAAGTAATTATAGGCAGAGAAATTTTCAAAAATAGTACTTAGGATCCTGAGTTCCCGTCACCGGTTTTCTTGGGGAAAGACTTACACTACCCTCTTGCAGTTGCTCATAGCGGGATATCAGGCCAGCTCTATCTGCCAAAGATGGGTTTCAAGTCAGCTTCTCTTTTTTGTAGACCCTTCAGTTTTGACCTCTGTATTTGATACAATTTTTCAATCATTCAATTAGTATGAAGAGTTTCCAGCCATAGGATGAGATTTCTATTCATACGAAATGTCCTGTTAAATTCCCTGAATAGCGTGTTTTGGGATGGTAAGTCTGTTCTAAGGATGTGCTTTGAGTGTGAGGCAGAATCTCACATTTAGTGTAGAATTCAGTGAGGGGGAACTGAGTACTGTGAGCCAGGGTGGCACCAGGCTTGGGGCACTGAGCCTCTGCATCTGCTGGGCCTGCCATCTTGTGGGCTCAGTGCCATCCTGACTTCATCATTGTTTGGTCCTATTTAATATATAAAGATTAATTCACAAATTTGACTAAAGTGTGGGGTGGAAGAGGAGCAAAGCATTCATATCTATATAAAATCTAATCCTTTGAAGAGTTGAATTGTATCTGAAAACAAAATAGGAGAATTACAAGATAGGTGGGATTCTGCGATTTTGAATTCTTTAGATCCCAGTATATGTCCTGAGGTTATTTTTCAAGTTTTCATTTGGTTATGGTTCATTTCTTCCATCAGTGTCAAGCCGGCCGATTTTGGGGGCGGGGGCTGAGCTCAGCAGAGTGTTAGAGTGGCACTCTACAAATCAGAGGCAGGGTCACTGTGCTTAGTGTTCACAAATTTTGGGTGTTGGAACCCCTGTGGTCACTTTGTAAAACACATTGGATAAGATGAACCATTTAACTTCAGCAAGCCTCTGTTTCCTCATCTATAAATTAGGAATTAAGTAATAGCTTCCCTTCCCTACTTTGCAGGATTTAAATGCCACTCAGATGTGATCTGTGTATCTATGAAAAAGTGGCCTATTTTTCTCCTCAGCTATTCTAGACATCATTCTCTTGAGGAAGTTTCCTGCCTTCTCAGTGGACTTTTATTTTCCCTCAAAGGGAGTAGGGTTGCCTGCCACCGGGAGAGGCTCAAATACAGAATGCACCTCTTCGTTGTGACTCACCCCCTGCTCAGTTGCTCTCCTTTCAGAGGGCTTCTTTGTAATCTGCCAAGCAGTGTTACATGTAGGGGGAAAATTAGGGATGAATAAATAGCTTAAAAAGAAGGTAAAATCACTGTCACGCATTCTTTGGGATTTTCTTTCTTTGGGGAAGAATATTGCCCTCTCATGAGGACTGATGGACATGTTTTCCTAAGAACAAATTCAGTTAGTCACAAATAAGCAGTTTGTGTATGCTGAGATGTCTACAGCCTGAGCACTCAGGTGTCTCTGCATTTTGGAAACTGAAGGATGAAGGAAGGGAGTGTGCTCTTAACATGTTCTTCTTTCCCTAAGGCTCCAGCCTCATTGGTACCTCAGGAGCCTGTGGGAATGGATGTCAAAATAGCACCTGATTCTTAAAAAAGCCTTCCAGGCTCCTGCTATTCTATAGACCAATTTGTGTCTCCTCAGAGGTGGCCCTTGGTTCCCTACCTGTCTGTGTACTGTTCCCATTCTGCAAAGAGATAGATACAAAAAGCAAGAGAAAGCATTAGAAATGTATATCTTGCTGTGGCAGTTTTATGATGTTTTATTGGGAAGTGCTGGCAGTGACAGATTGGCACGGTGGCCTTGGGAGGACGAGTTTTTCACATGAGGAGTCTGAGAAGCATCACTGTGGACATTGTTGGGTTTGTCAAAGCTAATTTGGGCCCACGTCACTTAAATGACTAGCCACCATGAGTAAAAGGTGGAAATCTGAAGTGTGTGACATTAGTTAAAAAATCTACGAAGAGACACTATATCAACACTTTGGTTTTTATTGGAAAAAAACACAATTCCTTTAATTTGCCTTCAGTCTCATTGAGTAATAAAAATATATTTTCTTTTTATATTTTAAAAATTATTCTCTCTCTGGCTGGTGTGGCTCAGTGGACTGAGTGCTGACCTGCAAACTGAAAGGTCACTGGTTAAATTCCCAGGTAGGGTTTATGCCTGGGTTGTGGGCCAGGTCCCCAGTTGGAGGCTTGAGAGAGGTAACTGATTGGTGCATCTTTCACAAATTGATGTGTCTCTCTTTCTCTTTCTCCCTCCCTTCCCCTCTCTCTAAAAATTAAAAAATTATTCTCCCAGGAAGTCCAGGCTTGTGTTTCACAATAATTACGAACTAAGATGTTAACTTATTTTTTAGACTAACTTTATAGCAATGTTTTTGTCTGTAAACTGTGCTGCTCTTCCTTGGGTTTGGTCATTTCCCTCTGCCCCTGAAAGGCCTCCTTTGTTTTTGCTAGTTCAGCGCCCCCTTCTTTTTGTTCTCTCTAGCTCAGCCCATTTCTGAAACTTTTTCTATTCATCTACAAATCCTGTTCTTAAACAAATGTTACTTGTTTCATTCCTGCTCTCCACAGCCCCTCCATGCAGTGAGGATTATGTGGGAATTAAGATAGAGTAGAACAGATGCTGTCATCACACAGAACTCTTAAATCTAGGAGGGAAGGCAGGTGTGTGTTGTTAGCCTTCTGAGTTTGGGGTTTCATTCACAGAGAAACTGTATGTTATTGTACTGCTTTAGGTTATTTAGTAACTTGGAACTCATACTATCATTTTCTCAGAGAGCTGGGTTTTAGCAGCTAGGTTGGGGTTGTGTAGAATAGTTCGTCCACGCTTGTTGGTGCTTTCAGGGCTGTTTCCTAGTGCACAGGCTCTGACTGTCAACCTGTTTTCTTGCAGACACGAGTTGGCGCTCTGAGGCAACCTTTCAGTTCACTGTCGAGCGCTTCAGCAGGCTGAGTGAGTCGGTCTTTAGCCCTCCGTGTTTTGTGCGAAATCTACCATGGAAGATTATGGTGATGCCACGCTCTCATCCAGACAGACCACACAAAAAAAGCATAGGATTCTTTCTCCAGTGCAATGCTGAATCTGATTCCACGTAAGACAGTTTAAATGATGCAATTACAAATCTACAAGTAGTCTAATACATTGGAAGCCAAATATGATTGGCCTTTTTGTATTTTGAAATTTTTTGGAATTTCCTTACTGATGTACATAGCTCTTTGATTTAAAATTAGACTCAACATGGTCCCCTCTTTAAAACTCACTGGTAGGTACGATATCCAAACTAGAAAAGATAATGTATTTTTTTCTTGCAATTCAAAAGCAAAGTTCAGGTTTAGGGTTTTCTGTCAAGATGGTGGCATAGGCAGACATGGCTCGCCTCTTTGCACAACCACATAAATATTACAAGTAAAATATAGAACAACCATCACTTAGGAACATCAGAAATTGAGCTGAATGGAAGTTTGACAACTACAGAATTAAAGAAACCACATCCATCCAGACTGGGAGAAGGGGCACAGACATGAAGCAGGCTGACCCCACACCCATGTGGATAAAAATTTGGGAGGGATATCCTGGGAGCAAGGAGTCACACCCCTACACCAGGCACCCCAGCTCAGGATTCCAGTGCCAGGAAGATAAGTCCCCACAACTTCTGGCTGCAAAAACCAGTGGGCATTGAGTTGGTGGAGGAGAATGCTGGAGCCCTAAGCAGTTCCTCTTAGGGAATCCACAAATGGACTCACCTACTCAGACTGGCTTCCTCTGAGCTTCAGCACTGCGGTGGCAGCTTGAAAGGCACCAGTGGTATCCAGCGAGAGACTAAAGTATCTGATTTGGGGCAAGCAAAGGCCAGTGTCCCTTTGCTGAGCCCTCAACCCACAGAGTTTGTAGTCTGGTGCCATATCTGAGACTCCATTGACTTGGCTAACACTGTATGATACACCTGGGAGATCCACAAAGACTCTACATAAAAATGACTGGTCTTGGCTCCTAAATCCTATCAAACGAGCAACAGCTGGTGAGCCATCTTGGTTCAACTGCTTCAGTGAGCCATAGAAGCAGCCAGATTAGATCCCCAGCTTGGCTTTCCCTGGGAACTCCAAGCCCAGCACAAGTAGCAGCCATCTCAGATTACAGCTCAGCAGGGTGGCCCCAGGCAAAACACAGGAAGGGCCTGACCTTGGCAGAAATTGGTGGACAGTGATCCCAGCCAATCCTTGCAGCTGACTGGCCTGGGTAAATCCCTCCAGTGGATCTGCCAGTAGCAACCAAGGCTCAAGTACAAGAGGAGGGTATACTCAGTCCCCAAGAAGGGCACACCTTGAGTACCCAGCTTGTGTGGTAGAGGAGGCTGTGCCACTGGGCCCTACAGGACACCTATGACCTTAGGCCATACTACCAAGACATGGAAACAAAGCCCCTCTACCTAGTACATAGAGAGAAACACAGGGAGGCTGCAAAACAAGGAGACAAGGAAATATGGCCCACATGATAGAACAGATCAAAACTCCAGAAAGAGAGCTAAATGAAATGGTGATAAGCAATCTATTAGATGCAGAGTTCAAAACAGTGATTATAAGGATGCTCAAGGAACTTAGTGAGAACCTCAGCAGCATAAAAAAGACCTAGTGAGAAACAAAGGATACACTAACCGAATAAAGAACAATTTACATGGAAACAACAGTAGAATGGATGACGCTGAGAGTCACATCAATGATTTGGAACATAAGGAAGCAAGAACAACCACACAGAACAACAAGAAGAAAAAAAGAATCCAAATAAATGAAGATACTATAAATAGCGTATGAGACAACTTTAAGAGGTCTAACAATTGCCTCATGGGGTATCAGAAGGAAAAGAGGAAGAGCAAGAAATTGGGACTCTACTTGAAAAAATAGTGAAAGTAAAGTTCCATAATTTGGTGAAGGAAATAGACATACTAATCCAGAGAACACAGAGTCCCAACTATAATGGATGCAAAGAGACCAACTCAAACACACATCATTATTCAAAGGTCAAAGGTTAAAGATAAAGAGAGACTCTTAAAAGCAAGAGAAAAGTTAGTTACCAGAAAGTTGCCAGATGGGAGGGATGCGAGGGAGAATGGGTGAAGAGGTGAGGGGATTAAGAAGTACAAATAGGTAGTTACAGAATAGTCATGGGCTGTAAAGTATAGTATAAGGAAAAGGAATAGCCAAAGAATTTATACACATGACCCATAGACATGAACAATGGTGGGTGGATCTTTTGAGGGGGGGTGCTGAGTAGAGGGGCAAATGAGAAAAAATCAGGACAACTGTAATAACATAATCAATATAATAAAAACCCCTAAAGTTTGTAGGAACATGGAATCAAGGCCCAATAGACTAGTCAGCCCATGAGGTGGACTGCTGGTTTACCAAGCTTAATTCCTATTCACTAGTAACTCTCCAAGGGGAAAATTGTAGTTAAGGAAAGTTCTTCAAAAAATTTTTGAAGTATATTTTATTGGTTATGCTGTTACAGGTGTCCCATTCATTTTCCTCCCCTTTATCTCCCTCCTCTCTGCACTGCCCCCCTCACCCAACAGCATCCCCTCCCCCACAGTTCATGTCCATGAGTCATACGTGTAAGTTCTTTGGCTTCTCCATTTCCTATACTATTCCTAACCTTCCCCTGACTATTTTGTGCCTACCTATTCTGCTTCTTATTACCTGTACATTTCCCCCATATTGTTCCCCTCTCCCTCCCCACTGATAACCCTCCATGTGATCTCCATTTCTTCGATTCTGTGCCTGTCCTAGTTTGCTTAGTTTTTGTTTCTGTTTTTTAGGTTCAGTTGTTGATAGTTGTGAGTTTGTTGTCATTTTACTGTTCATAGTTTTTGATCTTCTATTATTTAGATAAGTCCTTTTAACATTTCATATAATAAGGGCTTGGTGGTGGTGAACTCCTTTGGTGGTGGCTATATATCTTTGTCTGGGCGTATTTGTTATTGTAAGGGGCAGAGCCTTAGGTATTCACTAGGGCAGGGCAATCCTCTTTGCTCTCTTGTGGTGCTGTCTCCACAGAGGGTCAGAGAAGGAACAATGCTGCTTGCTCTGCCCTATCCCACTTGCTGTCACTTCCCTTACTTCCCATAAGCGATTTGTGCCCCAGAGAACACTGGCTCTAGCTATTCTGTCAAAGCTCCAGGAAGTACAACTCATTTTATGGTTTTTTTTTTTCTGGAAGTTTTAAGAAGTGCCAAGCCCATTTTATAGTGCACTCAGGGTTGTATGTAGGTTAAGATTTTTTTCCTATGGTCAAATTATGGTCTGATCTGATGAGTATTGGGTGAGATTTTAGTCATAATAGCCACAATCTGAACAGTAGTTTGGAAACAGAGAGTGGTTCACATCCAGCATAAGGAGCCTGAGCAAGTGGAAGTGCTGACGAGCTGGCACTGCTCTTTTTGGTGTTTCAGTGAGCTTGCAGCATTGTGAACCTTTCGGTGGACTTTTAAAGTGGCATAGCTTTTGGTTTTTAAACATTGATCCAGAGGCCCTTAATGATCTGCCCCAAATGTGACAGACTGCATCTATAGTCCTGTCACTTGTGGTTGTGATTCAGCACCATGCTCAGAGCTTGTCAGGGGACCCCTGGTACAGCCCTGCCCAGAGGCCTGTGTCAGAGGTGCTCTTGAGAACGTGACAGTACCTGTAAGCTACCAAGGGCAGGAGTGATGCTGACAAGTGACACCTTTATTAGTAGAACCTAGAGCTTCAAGTACACTCATTTCAAAAGACAGCATTATCATCATTCTTTTCCTATTCTTTTAAAATCCCATCCATAAAATTGTAATTTGACCCCAAAACTATAGTCTCTTATAAAATTTCAACATTTATTTTAAAGATAGCAATAAAAAACTTGACTTTAACTTTTGAAAAATTAAAAAATAAATAAAGCCATGAGTTAAATCAGTAGGTAAGGGCACCCTCAACCCTTCTTAGCCTTTTCTCCTCTAAATGTAAATATGCTTCCCAACCACCCACACCACCCCCACAAAAAAGAAGGTAAATATGGGAATTTTTGTGTGCTGTGTTTTTAAAAAATATATAAACATCAATGAAATACGTCACCTAAGATTTAGATTATTTTCTTTAAACAGGTCATGGTCTTGTCATGCACAAGCAGCGCTGAAGATAATAAATTACAGAGATGAGGAGAAGTCATTCAGTCGTTGTATTAGTCATTTATTCTTCCATAAAGAAAATGATTGGGGATTTTCCAATTTTATGGCCTGGAGTGTAAGTAACAGTGAATTTAGACTGAGTAATAATCTGAGCATTATTGTATTCCCCTAAATCTTTCATTATTCATAGCCTTCTATTTACTTATTTATTTATTCATTTATTATTGATTTTGGAGAGAAAGAGAACAGGGGAGAGTCATCAGTTTGTTGTTATATGTATGTTTGTACATTCATTGGTTGATTTTTGTATAAACCCTGCCTAGATATTGACCATGCAACCTTGTTATATTGGAATGACTCTCTAAGCCCCTGAGCTACCCTGCCAGGGCACCTTCATTCATTTTAGAATCAAAGTGTTTGTTTAATAAGTTGGGCAGCTATCTGTGTTTGTTTGTTTTTTTTTCCTACCTAAGCTTTTATCAGCCAGCAGGACTAAAGTCTCAACATTTTGTCAAACACTGTAAGCTAGTCAATAGCATTCCTGATAGGTACACTTCCTTTAAAAGCAATAATACCAGTTGGGATCTTTCCATAAGTCAACATAGTGCAGGGTGGTTTCGTGAAGCTTCATGAATTCTCAAGTCAGTTCATTTTGGCTGTTTTGGCAGAGGTGGAAACGTGCTTAGGAATGTCCTGCTTATTCTCCTACCATGGGTTCTGTGGAACCTCCCCTGCCCTGCTGTGATGAGCATGCCCTCATCCCTCATTTTCCGTGCTATGGCCTTGAACCCCCAGTGCCTCTGGAATGCCTCCTCTTGTTCAGAGAACACTGTTCACAACAAACCAAAATGCTGCAAAAATAGAAGCATGATTTGGGTGTTTGAAAAAGTGGTATTTTAATTTATTAAAGTACATGACACTAGGGTAATTTGGACTTTGGAATGAAGTGAGCATTCGTATGATCTTATGTAAGTTGGATATGCTTATTTTTCTTTTTAGGAAGTGACTGATCCTGAGAAAGGATTTATAGATGAGGACAAAGTGACTTTTGAAGTCTTTGTGCAGGCGGATGCTCCCCATGGAGTTGCGTAAGTTTTTGCTTATTTGTGTGCTATGATGAGACGTATTTTGTGCTGTAATGAGAGCAATACTTGCACATGATCAGAAATGCATGATTCCACAGAGCAGCACCCCTCTGTGCTTGCCCCTTGGCACACATGGAACATACAGGCATGTATGCCAGCTTCACATTCACTGCTTCATTTAGCGGATTTATTGAACCAGATTCTGTACGCAGACCCTGCTGCGCACTGCTAATATAATCATGTGGTCAACAAGACCAGACAGCCATGGGTTTCTGTTCACCAAGAAGGTACAGGCTGGTCCGGCAAAGGAGCAAGACCAGTACATAAATAGCTGCAGCAGGAGGTACTCTGTTTTTATGTTAAAGAGGTCAGGGATGTGCATGTGTGCTGGTGGCCCTGCTGAGTGGGTGAGGTGTAGTGAGTGGGGCACTGTAGAGCTCAGTGGAGGGCCTGCAAGGAGATGCTTCTACTTCTGTCATTCAGTCCAGGAAGTTCTGTGTGCAAGAAGTTTGGCCTCACAGAGTGTATTGGGTGATTGGTTGATAATGTGGGGCAGTGAATTGAGAGTAGGGAAAAGGACATGCATAAAGACACCAGCAAGAAGATTTGGAGTTGGGCACAATATGAGGGAAGTTGAAGAGTGGATCTGAGATGGTAAACTGGGAGCAGGTTATAGAAGAATACCAGACTTTGAAGGCCCAGAGTGAAACCGTAACATTGTATCTAGGAAGAAGTTGAGTGGCAGGTCCCAGTCTCTTACTTGCCATACTTTATTTCCACTTGGACTTACTCTTGGGTGAGAGTGCATTGGTTGACCCTGATGGAAGGGTGCAGGGAGCAGTGGGGTGGCCATGAAGGAACTATTAGTCTAGATCCTGGCTAAAGTGGCCTGGGCAAGGCACTGGAATTTTTAAAAATATATTTTATTGATTATGCTATTACAGTTGTCCCATTTTCCCCTTTTGCTCCACTCCACCCTCCCCACACCCTCCCACCCACATTCCCCCGCTTTAGTTCATGTCCATGTGTCATAAGTTCTTTAGCTTCTACATTTCACATTCTATTCTTGCCCTCCCCATGTCTATTTTCTACCTACCATCTATGCTACTTATTCTCTATACCTTTTCCCCCTCTCTCTTCCTCCCCCTCCCCCGTTTCTAACCCTTCATGTGATCTCCATTTCTGTGGTTCTGTTCCTGTTCTACTTGTTTGCTTAAATTTTTTTTTTGTTTTAGTTGTGGTTTTTACTACCTGTGAGTTTGAAGTCTTTTTTTACTGTTCATATTTTTTACCTTCTTTTCTTAGATAAGTCTCTTTAACATTTCATATAATAAGGGCCTGGTGATGATGAACTCCTTTAAGTTGGCCTTATATGAGAAGTACTTTATCTGCCCTTCCATTCTAAATGAAAGCTTAGCTGGATAGAGCCATCTTGGATGTAGATCCTTGCCTTTCATGACTTGGAATACTTCTTTCCAGCCCCTTCTTGCCTGTAAGGTCTTTTTTGAGAAATCATCTGGCAGTTTGATGGGAACTCCTTTGTAGGTAACTGTCTCCTTATCTCTTGCTGCTTCTAGGATTCTCTCCTTCATTTTCACCTTGGGTAATGTAATTATGATGTGCCTTGACATGTTCCTCTTGGGTCCAACTTCTTTGGGACTCTCTGAGCTTCCTGGACTTCCTGGAAGTCTATTTCCCTTGCCAGATTGGAGAAGTTCTCCTTTATTATTTGTTCAAATAACTTTTCTACTTGTTGCTCTTCCTCTTCCCCTTCTGGTACCCCTATAATTAGGATGTTGGAACGTTTAAAGATGTCCCGAAGGTTCCTAAGCCTCTCTTCATTTTTTTGAATTCTTGTTTCTTCATTCTTTTCTGTTTGGTTGTTCCTTTCTTCCTTCTGGTCCCTTGCATTAATTTGAAACCCAAGTTATCTTTCCATCACTGTTGGTTCCATGTGCATTTTTCTTCATTTCACTTAGTGTAGCCTTCATTTGTTCATCTAATTTGCAACCAAAATCAACCGATTCTGTGAGCATCCTGATCACCAGTGCTTTGAACTGTGCATCTGATAGGATGGCTCTCTCTCGGTCGCTTAAAAATATTGATTCTGGGGCTTTTAATTCTGTTTGAGCCATCTTTTTTTTTTTTCCTTTGGTTTGGTCACGTCTGTTACGTATGAGGGGTGGAGCCTTAGGTGTTCACCAGGGCAGGGCACCTCAGTTGCTGGGTTGTGATATTGTATGTGGGGGCGGGGTCCAAGAGGGAACAATGGTGCCTGCTCCACTCTCTGTAGGACTTCAGTCCCCTCTGACGCTTCCCACAAGCAGATTGGGGCCTTCTGGTGCTGGCTCCTGGGCAGGTGGGCTTGTGTATGTTCTAGGACTCTGTGGGTCTCCCCAAGGAGCTCTCCTGTGAGTCTAAGAGACTCTCCTGGCCTCAGCCCCCACAGGTGTTTTCGGTTGGTGCTTTTAGGCTTTGTTTCCCAGCGCTGGGTCCCTGGGTTGTGTGGTCTGTGTCGCTGCCCGTTTTCACCTAGTTTATCTGTACGTGAATGTGTGACTGCAGACAGCCAGCTGCCTTGTGCACCTCACTAGGTCTGCTCATTACCTCCCATGCCCAGGGTCTGCCACTGGGTCCGTCAGCTGCCCCTGCGCTTCTGGGGTCTGCCAACTACCGCCTGTGCCCTGTGTGCCCATGTCTGCCAAGCCACTGCTTTTTCCTGCCAGGACCCCTCTCCGTAGGCCTCCAACTCCACCCCTCCTTACCGGTCTAGATGAATGGTTGTCAGACTTCCATTCAGTTCATTTCTCTCTGTTCTGGTTGTTTTTTGTTTCTAAAATTTTGTTGTCTTTAGTTTTGGTTGTGTGAGGAGGCACAGTGCATCTACCTATGCTTCCATCTTGGCTTGAGGCACTGGAATTTAAAAAAAAATGCTAATAACATTTATTAGCTTTATGTTAATTGAACTGATACCAGAGGAATCAGGCTTTTCTTGAGTAGCCTTTTCAAAACACGCACTTATCTTGTATTGAAAGACCTAAAGTAGGGGTCTGAAACAAGCAAGTTCTAATTAAAATTGTTGTGGGGGTTTCCCCTTTCATTTAAAACCTTTTCCCTATGTCTCTTGACTTTAAAAAGTACATTGACTTTTCAATGTTACCAATCAAAAGAGATTTATTGGTTCAGCCACACTTGTCAAAACTTATTCAACTGCCCTGGCTGGTGTAGCTCAGTGGATTGCGTGTGGGCTGTGAACCAAAGGGTCACCAGTTTGATTTCCAGTCAGGGCACATGCCTGGGTTGTGGGCCAGGTCCCCAGTGGGGGCCATGTGAGAGGCAACCACACATTGATTTTTCTCTCCTTCTCTTTCTCCCTCTCTTCCCCTCTCTTTAAAAATGAATAAATAAAATCATTAAAAAAACCTTATTCAACCATTATTTCCTAAATCTTTATGATTATACTTGTTCAAATATTCATTTTTATCTCAGGGTTCTAGCATTTTCTTGACAATTTAAAAATGATTTTTTAAAAATTATTTTTTAGTGTATTTTCCTGTTACTATTTATTAAGAAGTAAGTTTAACACACATGAATTTTAACCGGGACCTTTTGACACACCTGAGTGTGTTTGCAAGGCCATGGATTAACCTCTGGAATCAGAGTACTATCAACTTTGACCTCACAAAGGGATTGGTCACACTCATTGGAGATCACATTTGTTTATGTCTTTGCATTATAGAAGACTAATAAGAAAAGGTTGTAGATGTTTGAAAGTCTGCATTAAAACTTGCCAGTATACATGCTTGTCTTTCCATGTGTGTATGACAAGAGAAAATAGGGGTCCCACCCATTTCCATTTCTTGCTGAGTACGTGTGACCTAGTATGAATGTAATAGGACTACACTGGGGGTCAGTTTGCTACAAGTTTGTAGACTGTAAGCTGTATCTGTGAGTGCTGATCTTGGTAAGTGATGGCCATGCTGCTCTCAGCAGATAGTGTTTTCAGCTGCTTCTTGAACGCTGGGGTTGAATTAGCACTGGTCCATGCACTCAGGTGGGCAGAATCAATGACCATTAAAGGGAGCCCCGTGATATGAACTCCTGGCCATAGTGTCCTTAGTGCCATGGGCCTGGTGATGAGTTATTAACTTGGAGGGGTGCTGAGCCTTCATTCCTGTGTCAGGATGGTGGGAAATAGCAGTGAAATGTCAGCCACCAGGCTGACATCTGGTTGAATCGCTCCACACACGTGGCAGAAGCAAGGATGTGTCCTGTGCGGTTTTCCCTCAACCTGAAACTGATCTTGTAGGTGGGATTCAAAGAAGCACACGGGCTATGTCGGTCTGAAGAATCAGGGAGCGACTTGTTACATGAACAGCCTGCTGCAGACTTTATTTTTCACAAATCAACTACGAAAGGTAAATGGATGGTATTTCTCTCCTCAGCCTCCCACCTACCCTTTTCTCTCAAGTATTAAGGGACAAGCAAAGTCCTCTTGCCAAACTTTGCCTTGTCTTCTCTTACACAGTGCTGTCTCCAGAGAGGCCCCTATGTCATGCTTGCTCATATCTTTAGTCCTCAGTGTTTGGACACTTAAAGCTAACCAGGGTGGTCAAAAGTTCACTACTGCTAATGATCCTAACTTTGAGCTAGAAGTAATATGTGTATTTTTTCAATATGAAAGCCATTGACAGCACTTGAAAAAGTTTTATATGAAAAATTGATCAGTCGGAGAACTAGCTGCAAAATGTAGTTTTCACATATTATAGACAAAATGTATTTATTTTTGAAAAATATTTTACTTATTTTTAGACAGAGGGGAAGGGAGGGAGAAAGAAAGGGAGAGAAACATCAGTGTGTGGTTGCCTCTCAAGCACCACTGCTGGAGACATGGCCCACAACCCAGGCATGTGCCCTGACTGGGAATGGAACCAGCAACCTTTTGATATACAGGCTGGCACTCAATCCACTGAGCCACACCAGCCAGGGTGAAAAAAAATGTATTTTTGTAAGACTACTTAAACCAGAGCAGACTTGCCTAGATTGTAATGCAGATGAGACAGCCATTTGTACTTTAGGAAAGTCATGTGAGCAGCATGGAGCAGTGCAGGCAACACAGACTCCTGGTTGTGGGGGCAGCACTGGCTGGTCTGCTGCTTTCCTTTCATGTTTGCGCTGTTCTTCAGTTGAGTTACTGTGGTAGGCTAGATCCCGGGAATAGCTGAATGTGGGTCGTGTCAGTAGCATTTGTTTCATTAAATCTTCTGTTTATAAGTAATGTTGTTTTAAAATGTTGCTCTGAGAAGTCTGAGATGAAAGTGATTGTCTTTGGATGGTGAGCTATAGGTCATAGAAAAAAATACATTTTTTGCCACCTTGTATTTTCTAGATTGATTCTAAAGACTTTTATGATTTCCAATTAAAAAAAAACCTTCCTGGCCTATGTAGTGGCCTTAATTAAACTACCATAGCCATTGTGATATTAGAAGTGATATTGTCACATCAAATTTCATTTTTATTTCTTAATCCTTTTAGGCCGTTTACATGATGCCAACAGAGGGTGATGACTCATCCAAAAGTGTCCCTTTAGCATTGCAGAGAGTGTTCTATCAACTACAGCACAGTGATAAGCCCGTAGGGACAAAGAAGCTAACAAAATCATTCGGGTATGTATTGGAAATCTGCCTTTCCCTCTGCTGCTACTTTAAGGATGAATGAAATGACAGAAGAATTACAAACACTGTGTAGGCATTTAATTATGTCAGAGTGTTTCTATCATTGTATTTTATCTGACCACTTTGGAAAGAGCAGCCTGGTTTTAGAATTTTGCTTGAGAAACAATTTACAACTTAAAGCTTTACCTGTCAAGAAAAGGACAGTTATATATCCAAAGGATTTCCTATCTCTTCTCTGTGGGTTGGTACTTTAAATACCATAGAATATACTCCCAATGTCTTAAATAATTTTGCCTTCCTCCTCCAACTGATCACAAAAATGGGTAGGTGAGAGCTGTGAACACCAGTATACCTGCTGGAAGAGGAAAGCCACTAACAAAGGAACCACCAACAGATAACATGAAAGAATGTGAAGGAGGGAGTGGAAGCCATACTAACATCATCCCAGGACTGATCTGGAAATATAGCTAAATGGTGGAGAAATTACCCGGAACGAAAAACTGAACAAGAGTGAGAGAGAAACCTCAAAACCTCATACAGACAGAAAGAAGCTTCAATACAATCAGTCTACACCTGCACAGCAGATTACAAGACGTGGTGGATGGAGTGACCCTCAGTTAACCAGCTGCAGGAAAGGACCCACCAAAGAAAGACCCAACAACAGTCAAAACCCAGAGACATACAGAGAGCCAACATAAATGACAGCCCAAGACCTGCAAGCTCAGGAGATCAAGGAGACTGCACCATTGAATCTCACAGGTCTTTTAACATAGGAGTTCACACCATAAACCCAGGGACTCAGAACAGATCAATTTAAGAAGCAGAGGCTAACAAGAAGAGTCTCACAAACAATGGGAAGACAAAGAAACAATCCCCAAGTGAAAGGAAAGGAGGAAGCCTGACAAAGGATGCTAAATGAAACAGAGGCAAGCCATCTATCAGATACTGAGTTCAAAGCAATAATTATAAGGAAGCTCAATGACCTCACAGAGAACTACCAAAACCTACAGGGAAACTACAATGAACTCACTGCAAACTATATCAACATGAAAAAGGAAATAGAGACTATCAATAAGGGCCAAGAGGAAATGAAGAATACAATTTCTGAACTGAAGAACACAGTAGAAGGAATCAAAAACAGAATCGATGAAGCAGAGGATTGGATCAGCAAACTGGAGGACAAGGTAGAAAAACACACCCAGAAAAAGCAAGAAAAGAAAAAGAGGCTCAGAAAGAATGAAGAGGGGTTAAGGGAAATGTGAAACAATATGAAACGTAATAATATCCATATAATATGGATACCAGAGGAGAAGAAGAGAGCAAGGGATGGAAACCCTGTTTGAAGAAGTAATGATGGAAAACTTCCCTAATTTGATGAGAGGAAATAGTCACACAAATCCAGGAAACACAGAGAGTCCCAATGAAGAGGAACCCAAAGAGGCCCACTTTAAGACACATCATAGTTAAAATGTCAAAATTCCAAGACAAGGAGAGAATCTTTAAGGCAGCAAGGGAGAAATGGGCAGTAACATACGTGAGAGCCCCGATAAGCCTAGCAGCTGACTTCTCAATGGAAAGGCTCTAAGCCAGAAAGGAATGGCAAGAAATATTCCAAATAATGCAAACCAAAGGCCTGCAACCAAAACTACTTTATCCAGAAATGCTCTCAATTAAAATAGAAGGCCAAATAAGGAGCTTCCCAGGCAAAAGAAGCCTCAAAGAATATACCTCCTCCAAACCAGCTCTGCAAGAGATGCTAAAGGGTCTCCTTTAAGAACAGGAAGAAAAACAGTGAGAGAGAGAGAGAGAGAGAGAGAGATTTTGAGCGAGAAACACAGGTACAGAAAAATGGCAATGAATAAGTACCTATCAATAATAACCTTTAACGTAAATGTATTAAATGCCCCAATCAAAAGACACAGAATAGCTGAATGGTTAAGAAAATAGGATCCACACATATACTGCCTACAAGAGACCCACCTCAGGACAAAAGACCTACACAGACTGAAAGTGAAGGGCTGGAAACAAATTTTCCAAGCAAATGTTAAAAAAAAGAAAAAAAAAGCTGGGGTAGCAATACTCATATCAGACAAAATAGACTTCAAAATAGGAGCTATAAAAAGCCACCCCGAAGGTCAATTCATGATACTCAAGGGAAGAATCCATCAAGAAGACATAAACATTATAAATATATATGCACCCAACATAGGAGCACCGAAATACATAAAGAAAACTTTGGAGGACTTCAAGGAAGATATTGACAGCAACACAATTATAGTAGGGGATTTTAACACCCCACTGTCAAAAATGGACAGATCTTCCAAATAAAGTATCAACAAAGAGATTGTGGCATTGAACAATGCCCTAGATGAAATGGACTTAACTGATATATATAGAGCCTTCATCCCAAAGAAGCTAAATACACATTCTTTTCTAATGCGCATGGAACATTTTCAAAGATAGGCCACATGATAGGACACAAAACAAGCCTCAACAAATTCAAGAAATTTGAAATCATATCAAGCATTTTCTTCAACCACAAGGGACTGAAACTGAAAACCAACCCCAAGATAAAAAACCCAAAACACTCAAATTCATGGAGATTGAATAGCATGCTATTAAACAATGGATGGGTCAAGATAGAGATTAGGGAAGAGATCAAAAAGTTTCTGGAAACAAATGAAAATGAAGTCACAACAACCCCAAATTTATGGGACTCAGCGAAGGTAGTCCTGGGAGGGAAGTTCATAGCGATACAGGCATACCTAAAAAAGATAGAAACATTTCAAACAAATGATCTAACCCTACACCTACAAGAACTTGATGAACAACAACAAAGACAGTCCAGAGCAAGTAGAAGGAAAGAAATAACCACGAATAGAGCAGAATTAAATGACATGGAGACTACAAGCACAATTCTTAGGATCAATAGATCCAGGAGCTCATTCTTTGAAAAGATAAACAAAATTGACAAGTCTTTAATTTAAGCAGACTCATCAAGAAAAAAAAGAGAGGGCCCAAATAAACACAATCAGAAATGAAAGAGGAGAGATTATGACTGACACCACAGAAATACAAAGGATTGTAAGAAATTACTAGGAAGAACTAGATGCCAAGAAATTGGAAAACCTAGGTGAAATGGACAAATTTTTAGAAAAATACAATGTTCCAAAAGTGAATGAAGAAGAAGCAGAAAGCCTGAACAGACCAATAATAGTGATGAAATTGAAGCAGTAATCAAAAAGCTTCCAACACACAAAAGCCTGGACCAGACAGTTTTACAGGAGAATTGTACAAAACATTTAAAGAAGAGCTAAGCCCTATCCTTCACAAATTATTCCAAAAAATTCAAAAGATGGAAGACTCTCAAACTCTTTTTATGAAGCCAGCATCATCCTAACCCCAAAACCAGATAAAGGCACAACAAAGAAAGAAAACTTCAGGCCGATATTGCTGATGAACATAGACGCTAAAATCCTCAACAAAATATTGGCAAATCACATCCAGCAATACATTAAAAAGATCATACACCATGACGAAGTGGGATTCATCCCAGGGATGCAAGGATGGTACAATATTCACAGATCAATAAACATAATATATCACACAAACAAAACAAAAGAGAAAAATCACATGATCATATCAATAGATGTGGAAAAAGCATTTGATAAGGTACAGAACCCATTTATGATAAAAACACTCAGCAAATGGGAATAGAGGGAGCATTCCTCAACATAATAAAGGCCATATATGAGAGACCTACAGCCAACATCATCCTCAATGGGTAAATACTTAGAGCTTTCCCACTAAGATCAGGAACAAGAAAAGGATGCCTGCTTTTACCGATTCTATTCAACATAGTATTGGAAGTCTTAACCACAACAATCAGACAAGAAAAATATATAAAAGGCATCCAAATTGGAAAGGAGGAAGCAAAACTATCAGTTTGCAGATGACATGATAGTTTACATAGAAAATCCTATAGGCTCCACCAAAAATTTATTCGACCTAATGAGTGAATTTGGCAAAACAGCAGGATGCAAAGTTAATATTCAGAAATCAAAGGCATTTTTGTACACCAGCAATGAAGTATCAGAAACAGAAATCAGGAAAAAAATCCCATTTGACATAGCAACAAGAAAAATAAAATACCTAGGAATAATCCTAACCAAAGAGGTAAAAGACCTGTACTCAGAAAACTATACAACACTGAAGAAAGAAATTAAGGAAGACACAAACAAATGGAAGCATGTACCATGTTCATGGATTGGAAGAATTAACAGCATCAAAATGTTCATACTACCCAAAGCAATTTATAGACTCCATGCAATCCCTATTAAAATACCAATGGTATATTTCACAGATACAGAATATTCAGAAATTCATATGGAACCATAAATGACCCCATATAGCTGCAGCAATTTTGTGAAAGAAGAACAAAGTAGAAGGGATCACAATACCTGATCTCAAAATGTATTACAAAGACACTGTAATCAAAACAGCCTCATTGTGACATAAGAATGGACACATAGGCCAATGGAATAGAACAGAGATCCCAGAAATAAACCCAAGTCATACAATCAATTAACATTTGACAAAGGGGGAAGTAGCATCAAATGGAATGAAAATAGCCTCTTCAACAAATGGTGTTGGGAGACCTGGACAGCTACATGCAAAAAGAGAAAGAAAAAAAAAGAAACTCGATCACCAACTTACATCATACACAAAAATAAATTCAAGGTGGATAAAAGGCTTAAATATCAGTCGTGACACCATTAAAGCCCTAAGAGTAAAACATTGGCAGGAAAACCTCAGACATTCCACACAGCAACATCTTCACTGATATGTCCCCTAAAGCAAGGGACATAAAGGAAAGAATAAACAAATGGGACCTCATCAAACTAAAAAGCTTTGCATGGCTAAAGAAAACAGTAAAATGAAAAGAGAACAAACTATATGGGAAAATATATTTGCCAATGATACCTCAGCCAAGGGTTTGATTTCCAAAATATATGAAGAACTCACATGACTCCACTCCAGGGAGACAAAAATCCCAATAAAAAATGGGCAAAAGACTTGAACAGACACTTTTCCAAGGAGGACATACAGAGGATGCAGAGACACATGAAAAGATGCTCAGCATCACTAGCCATCAGAGAGATGCAAATTAAAAGCACAATGAGATACCACTTCACACCAGTCTGAATAGCCTTCAGAAACAAATCAACAAACAAGTGTTGGAGAGGATGTGCAGTAAAGGGAACCCTAGTGCACTGTTGGTGGGAATGCAGACTGGTGCCACCACTGTGGGGAACAGTAAGGTATTTCCTCAGAAAACTAAAAATGGAACTGCCTTTTGACCCAGCAATTCCACTGCTGGGATTATATCCTAAGAGCTCTGAAACACCAATCCAAAAGAACCTATGCACCCCAATGTTCATAGCAGCACAATTTACAATAGCCAGGTACTGGAAGCAACCTAAGTGCCCATTAGTAAATGAGTGGATCAAAAAACTACGGTACATTTACACAATGGGATACTACACAGCAGAGAGAAAGGAGCTCCTACCCTGTATGACAGCATGGATGGAACTGGAGAGCATTATGCTAAGTGAAATAAGCCTGGCGGTGAGGGACAAATACTACATGATCTCACCTTTAACTGGAACATAACAAAAGAAAAAAAGGAAACAAAATATAACCAGTGACATTGAAATTAAGAACAATTTAACAATAACCAGAGGGGAGGGAGGAGGGGACAATGGGGGAAAGGATTTTCATGAATTACTATAAAGGACACATGGACAAAACCAAGGGGGAGGGTGGAAGCAAGGGAGGGGGGTGGGTTTGGCTAGGGTGGAGGGGAGTGGTAGGGGGAAAATGCAGACAACTGTAATTGAACAACAATAAAATAATTTTTTTGAAAAAAGAAAAAGACATGTCTAGATTTTAAATGAATTACAAAGGGGTACAACACCCCCCCCCCAAATTGGAATTATCTTCTAGAGGGAGGGCCCCTTGTAGTACAGGGTTCCCTTTCTAGGTGAGTGTTCTAGAAACCCTGTATCAGTGTACCAGGTGACATTGTGCAAGAACATGTTCTACTTAAGAGAATTGTTTTGAAGACCCTTTCTTTTTTTCTTTTTTTAAATTTTATTTTAATTGTTGTTGCAGTACAATTTTCTATCTTTTACTCCCATCCCAACCCACCCACCCTGCCCTCTCCTCCTCCCTCCCATTTCCAACCGCTTCTAGTTTTTATCCATGTGTCCTTTATACTCGTTCCTGTAAACCCTTCCCCTTTTCCCCTGAAATTCCCTCTCCTCTCCCCTCTGAACTCTGTCAGTCTGTTCTTTATTTCAGTGTCTTTGGTTATATTTTACTTGTTTCTTTGTTTTGTTGTTTAGGTTCCTGTTAAAGGTGAGATCATATGGTATTTGTCTTTCACTGCCTCGCTTATTTTGCTTAGCATAATACTTTCCAGTTGCATTCATGCTGTTGCAAAGGGTAGGAGCTCCTTTTTTTTTTTTTTTTTTTTGAAGACCCTTTCAACATGTTTGCCCATTTCATGATGGGTGATTTATGAGTGCACCTGCCCACACCATGCTGAGTGTTCAGTTTTTGACCAAAAACAGCCTGACCCCTTGTGCCGCACACCCACTATTCACCCAACCCTACCCCAAGTGGCATTTTTGTTTACTTTTTCTGTTTGTTTCTGGGAATGAAAAAAGTCCTCAAAGTGAAACGTTTTGAGCATGTAGAAGAGGTGAAACAAAAAATGGCAGAAGTACAAAAAGGCATCAAAACTGACATGCTCAGAAATCATTTTGAGCAGTGGAAACAATGTCTCGATAGGTGTATTGCAGCATCAAATGGAGAGTACGTTGAAGGTGGATGAAGTTTATGTAAGAATAAATATACAATTAAAAAAAATAAATTCCAATATTGTTGGGTCCCCCTCATGCACTTACTTGCAAACATGTCCTCCCCTTGTAGTAAGTTGTTTAGAACAAGATAAAGTTGTTAGCATTTGGGTGTTCTGACAAAACTCAGTTTATCTTTGAGTTATAACCCCCAAATAGTGTCAGAAAATAAATTTAAGAATAATGGATGATTATGCAGTGTGGTTTTTTAATCTACACTACTTACTAATTTACTCTTATTTGGAGTTTGGATGCTTTGGTATATATAAATGTTCACTTTATCTTTCCAAGGTGGGAAACTTTAGATAGCTTCATGCAACATGATGTTCAAGAGCTATGCCGAGTGGTAAGTTTTCAGCTATAATTATATACTACTGACATTTAATATTTTGAAGCACTGTCAGAAGTTGTTATCAAGTAGAACCTCAGGCATACTTCACGTCACCATAATTTAGATAAGCCCACATTTGTTCGGGCCCAAAACTAAGCTGGAAGGAAAAAAGGAGCATTTATATAGTTTAAAAGCCAGAAAGAATGAAAAAATTATTTGAGAGGGAAGTTTGAGGGGAAACTTGAATTTAAATATTGTAGTAGGATAATGTGTTAATTGGAATATCTACTTGAGTTGCTATTGGCTGGAGTAGCTGTCTGACTCCACTGCTTCAGTTTGCGAGAGTGACTTCTGTTATCGCCCTGCAGCATCCAGACCCCTTCTTTGCACAGAAGTTCTGCTTGAGGCAGACCTCTGTGTGAGTGATTCTCCCAAAACCAGCTTTAGTCACTAGCAAATTTCCATTCTTTCAGTTGTGATGAAAGATGCACAAACACACACACAACATGAAATGGCTATTCAAGGTGATTGGCTGGGCAAGGTGTGATTTGTTTTTTGCAGCACTAGCTGGATTGAATCCAGTTCATTAAATATCCATGGACAAACCAGTCAATCCTGTTGACAGGCTCAACCTCATTAATCTCTTGGTGTGGACCAATACAAGTTAAGTTTAGTGCTCAATTTACATGCTTTTCCACAGAGGTAAAATGAATATAAAAAATGCTTCTAAAGGCACTACAGATTACTAATTCATTCCGGAGGCTGTTTAGAGGGTTAATCTCAACTGTTGCATGTAGATATTTTTGTAACCATCCAACCAAGACAGAAGATTTTGTATGTTTTGGATAATTGCATGCTGAAGGTCATACTATTTATAGTCTTAGAATGTCTTGGACCATTGCAATTTCCTAGTCATATTGCAAATTACTGTATATTGATAAGGCATAACATCCTCTTAAAGCCCAAACTTTCTCTTCCAGCTGCTTGATAATGTGGAAAATAAGATGAAAGGCACATGTGTAGAAGGCACCATACCTAAATTATTCAGAGGCAAAATGGTGGTACGTGATTATCACTTTAAAAGGATAATTTTAAAAGATTTTGAAATGTGTACATTTTGCTGATTAATAATACTTGTGCCGTCTTTCCCTCATTTGCAGTCCTATATCCAGTGTAAAGAGGTGGACTATCGATCTGATAGAAGAGAAGATTATTATGATATCCAGCTGAGCATAAAAGGAAAGAAAAACAGTAAGTTCTGTGCACACAGTGGCCTGTTGATCTTCTGATCATTTCTGTTGCGACTTAATGCTTTACTCACACAAATGCTTTTGATTAAACTTGAGCAGAGAGAGAAAACTGCCAAATGATGAGTGTACAGCTCACAGAGTGGAGAGCCAGGTCGAGAAACAGAACTTTGCTGGCACACCCATCCCTGCCTCGGTCCTTCCCAGTCACTACCTCCTCTTCAGAGGAGACGACTGTTTGGGTTTCTAATGTCCCGTTATAGGTTATATTTACCTATATAGGTTATATTTACCTATATATAACCTATATAGGTATTTTCCACATACCTATGTGGAAAATATTTACGTAGGATATAGTGTCTTCCTCATTTACTTTGCTCAGCATTATGTCTGTGGAATTGCACCTATGTTTTGAGTAACAATAATTTGGTCATTTTTATTGATTATAGTATTTCACTTTGGGGATATACTGTAAGAGTTTTGGGATCACCTTTTCTTGAGAGATACATGGACTGTTTTCAGTGTGAGCCTGTAGGTATGAGCCCCTTGTCTGCCTTGTTTTTTTCTCTTTCTGGTGCACATATATTTGCATTGATGGTGAGTGGGATTGCTGGCTTACAGGGAACACACATGTTCAACCTAATAGATAAAGCCAGCCAGTTTCCCTCAGTGGCTTATCAGCTTCACACAGCCCTCCTGCCCAGCAGTGTGTGAAAGCTGTCAGTGATCAGACTGGACTTTTTAGTGGGAGTATGGTGCTATCTTGGTTTTAACTTACACTTCCCTGATCATGAGGTAGTCACCTTTTCATGTGCTTATTGGCAGTTTGGGTACTGTCTGACCATAGTGGAATATGGTTAATAATAACTTAATGTCCTTGTCTACAAATTCTGTCACCTCGGTGACTTCTGGGTCTGCTTCTGTTGAGTCACCTTTGTCTTTACCACGAGCTGTATTTTCCATCTCGTTGTATGTCTGGTAATGTGTTATTGGATGCCAGCCATTGTGATTGTGTTCTTGTTGGGTGTTGAAAGGTTAAGCCATTCTTAACCTTTGTTCTGGAGCACAGTTAAGTTACTTGGCAGTGATTTGTATTCTTCAAGGCTTGCTTTGTAAGGTTTGTGCGGGAGTTGATAACAGTTTGTGGGAGCACAACCATTCTTAGTTGAGAGCTAATTTGTCCCCATAACTGAGGCAACGGCTTTCTGAGTTTTGAGCCTGAAGTGCCTGACTTAGGAGGCTTTCCCACTATGGCGGGAGGGAACACAGGCTGGTGGAGTGCGGGGGCTGTTTCCCTGATCCTTGTGGTGCTTCTTTCTCCAGCCCCAGATTCTTTCCTCACTGTACTGAATATTGTGATTAGCACTCTGGGAAGGCTCCAGGAGAACCCTCTGCAAGTCGCTGGAACTCGTTTCCTGTGCAGCTTTCTGTTCTTGGGCACCCTGTCCTACACATTGGAGCTGCCTTGGGCCCCTCATTCTCTCTGGGACATTCTGGGCCAGCCCTGTTTGGGCTTCTCTTTGCTGTGCTGTGGCCTGGAAAGTATGCAGTTGCCGGGACACTTGACAGGCTCTCTCTGGATTCACCACTTTCACTGCCTATGGTCCAGAGCATGAACGCTGTTGTTTTCCAGAGTCCAGTGTTTCACTTGTGCAGTGCAGGAGAATAGGCCAGTTCCTGTTGTCCTGTCACCACCACAGCAGGAGTTCTTCCTGTGCTCTGGACGCTAGTTCTGGGTGAAGTCGCTGACATCATCCCCCCCCAGACTGTGATCGTCCTGTGCTTACCTTTTCACTCTTTCAATGTTGCCATTTGTTTCACAGAATCTGATAATATTAGTGATCCCCAGTGTATCCGTCTTTGCTTTCTGTGTCCTAAGAACCCCTGCCCTGAAATCATAAAATACTCCCTTACTTGTTATTTTTTAATCTTCTCTATTTATTTACTGCCTGTTAGCATTTGTAAGACCTTTAGGAAACCCTCGCAGTCTCCTTAAAGTTTACACCTTGGTTGGATTGGTGAAAGTGTTAAGGGCACATTTAACTGGTCTGTGTTGGAGGCTGAGAATTACCGCTCAAGGCCAGTTACTGACATTCCCTTCCCTGGTGTTCCTAAATGTACTTGAGTTGGCTTTATTATAATGGAAGCTTTACTGATAACTTCAGCTGACTTTTCTCTTTCTCTCTTTAAAGTATTTGAATCATTCGTGGATTATGTGGCAGTAGAACAACTAGACGGTGACAACAAATATGACGCCGGGGAGCATGGCTTGCAGGTAATCGGGGAATTTTGTGCCAGTGTCTTGGTGTAGCTTTTCACTTCCACCTGAATTTTTTTGGCTTACCTGTGAACTAACAATGTCCTCATGTCTTTCCCTATTGTGCTGGTATGTAGATCTCAAAAGGATTTTATTTCTTAGTGTGGACATGTTATTTTAGAGAACTCTGAGTGTGTCACTGGTATGTGAGAATGGGAAGAGGGCTAAGGAAGGTGTTAGCAGGAAATGGAAGTAGAGCTTGTTCGTCAGGCATAGAACTGTCACCAACACACTGAAGCTCAGTCCCTGTGTTTGAAGACTTTTTTTCCATTTCATGGATTATTCTGTTTGTCCCCTTACTGGTGTCAGTGCCTGGGGTTCTCTCAGTGTCCTCTACTCATAAGCAGAATTTGTTAGTCATGTGGAGTCTGGTATTGGCTGATGTGGTTTTGCTCTTTTGTGTGGTTGAGTTAACAGTTTTCTGAGGACCATGACTTCTAGAATGAGGAGTGCATTTTCTGTTATTCGTTCCGTGACACTTGGTATCCCTGCTTGTTTTCCACATTGCCCTTGAGGAACTCCGGGCTTCTGGCAGAGCAGTGAGCATCAGGTAGAGGGACATGGGCTGTGGCTGGTTCCTGGCCGTCGGTCAGGCTGGTGGGTGGATCAGCAGCACCATCACCAGGCTGGCCCTCCAGAGTCTCTGTTGCAGCCTCATAACCTTGATTCATAGGCTCAACCGATTCACAGTTTTTCAGATCATGCTGTGTTTACCAAGCCTGCTGATTTATAAATCACGGTACCATTTTGCCGTGGGCCACAGTTCTGGTCTTGTTCTGCTGGTGAGGCCACCTGGGCACCAAGTTGCATATGAGGAAGTCACTTGGCAAACATGCATCTAGATGTGCTAGGAGACACTTCTGCTAACTCAGAAGAATTGTCTTTATCCATGCTGGATATTTGGGGTCTGGACAGGAAATACATATTTCAGAATCAGTGGACAAGGGTGGAGAAACAATTCTTATATTATTCTTTCAGGTTGTGTTGAAATCATGCCACACCCTTGTGTGGTGGTAGGTTCCTGGGGTTTGTGTTTTTCCTTCCAGATACCGTGTCCTCTTACATGTGCGAGTGTGTGTTGTAGAACATTGCCAAGTAGGTTTGCCTTGTCACAGCCACCAATTGGACATTCTCTAGCTGGTCATTGACTAAAGGTTTATAGTGCAGAGGGAAGGTCTGGGTTGGAAATATACCTGATCAGAGTCACTGATGGCCTGCTGGCGGCTGAGTTTGGCAGAGGCTTATCTTAGTGAGGGGAAAAAAGTCGGCTGAGGCGGAGCAGAGAAGGAGACAGGTGTGAGAGCTGTAGAGTGACAGTTTGCTCCAGAGAAGCTGAGTTTGGAAGCTGAGGGTGTGCTGTAGCCCAGAGGCTGACAGTAACTGGGGGAAAGGCTATGTTGGCAGCAAGAGGGTCTTGCTGATACTCAGGACATTGTGTAGGAGTTTGAACAGGAAGCACTGAGTGTGTGCTCCACAATGTGTGTTGTTAGTAGACATTAAGGTGCAGGGAATGGAAGCTGGCTACTCACAGTCATCCTGATCATGACTGTTCACCCGTACTCTGTCTAGGTGGTCCACAGCACACCTAAGCTCACATAATGGCAACCAGCCTTCTGTTTTTCCCTGTAGTGTTTTTTCCCCATGTGTTCCTCATATTCTTCCATGTTTAATGACTATATAATACATCAGAAAGTGACCAAGCTTTCATTTACTTAACTATTCCCCTATGGTGACATATCAAGATAGAACCAAATCCAAAGGGGAAATCTTTACAAGCTGTTGCAGCATTATTCTAGGAGCAATAAATACGAGCGTAAGCAACATTTCAAAGGCACCTTAGATGATGCCTAAACACTGCCTCTTCCCACCAGAAATCCCCAACATGTTCGGGTCTTACAGAAATGCTGTTGCTTTCATTGCTTCAAGAAATAAGTAGTGGTGAACTAAATTTGCATTTGCTTTTCAATGTGCAGGAAGCAGAGAAAGGTGTGAAATTCCTAACATTGCCACCAGTGTTACATCTACAGCTGATGAGATTTATGTATGACCCTCAAATGGACCAAAATATCAAGATCAATGATAGGTAATTACAGGGGTTATGGAGGTTGAGATTTAATTATCACGTTAGTCTTAGTGCTTTGTTTAGTTTTTATAAATATATACATACACTCACACACACATATTTGGCCTCATCTCTTGTTGAATTAGGTTTTCCTTCTACCTCGGTGTCCAAGAACTATGATTTTACAAGGACAATTTTTCTTGAATTCTGGGGCTGTTCCTTTTGTATTTTTCTCTCAAGGAACCCCAGCCCCTCTGCACTGTGACTGCTGAAGTCTGAGAGGAGAGGGTGCTTTCTTCTCCTGTGACTTTGCTGTCACCAGAGTGTAGACGTCACCTCAGAACTGGAAATTGATATTATTGTACTTGTTTCAACAGGATTCTCCAGTATTTTGCAACATGTCAGTTGGTGTTGACTTGGAGAATGTAGTAGAGCTTTCAGGAATGCTAAAGTAGGCATGCATGTGCCCTATTCCAGGTGTCTTCTAGATTCTTAAAATACTAAATACAAGGATGATACTGTACAGCAGGATAGTCACCCTTGAGACTTGAGGGGGAAATGTAACCCAACCCAATTACTTGCCACCACCTGGGTCTTTGCTTATCCATTGTTGCCCTTTACTGTGGACCCACTAAGAAATCGTATCCACTAGACCCCACGGACACAGCCTGCAGGCTGAGTCCACCCTGCTGGTGTATTTTGTTGGGTCCTCACCTTGGTTTTCTTCTATTTTTGTTGGAACTAGTTGCCAACATGTCAAAATTCCATCTTTTCACACAAAAGTCCAAATTTCTGGCATCCTTTGGGAGTTCAGAACATTTGGTGACTGTGGGCCTGAATTCCCATAGTGGGCTGGCTCACTCAGGAGCTGCCCCTTCAGGGTCAGTGTGCATGTTCCACTTTGTTCCTCACCTGCCCACCTTACTTCCTGCTTTCCTCTGACAGTGTTCCCCATTACCATGTAATTAGAATGTTTGTGGAGCCAGTCATTTAAAAATGATAGAGTCTAGGAAATCTGTAGAAATCACAGGGTAGGAGTTCTTTTTTACACGTGTTCCTTCTCCAATTTGATTTTTCCACATTTCTCAAACATGCAGGACATCCTTAGTGGTCTCAGTTGTGCACTATCAGAATCATTCATTAACACACACTTGGAATTATTTACATCCCAGAAAAGTCACAGTGTATGTTTGTCACAAGATTATTGTGTCATAGCCTTGAATTTAAAATTCTATTCAGTATCTCAGTGCTTTATAGGCATTTTCTCCTATCTAGCTTTAAATTTTGTATTGGCATATAAACATAATTTATTCTAACCAGTAGGAGCTGCCTCAGACGTAGTTCATTGGGCCTCCCAAATCAAATGCATTCTTCCCTTTCCAAATAAAGATGAACAAGTAAGCTAGAAGGTCTAGGAAAAAATAAAGCCTAAAGATGAAATATTTTATGTGTAAATGAATTTCTTTAAACATGTTTTTTTTAATAGGTTTGAGTTTCCCGAACATTTACCTCTTGATGAGTTTTTGCAAAAAACAGATCCTAAGGACCCTGCAAATTATATTCTTCATGCCGTCCTTGTTCATAGTGGAGATAATCATGGTGGACATTATGTGGTTTATCTAAACCCCAAAGGGGATGGCAAAGTAAGTCCTGGGCAGGGGGCAGAGTAGGATGTGGTGCTGTAAACTGGGGGATTTACACCAATGCTCAGCCTCAGTATTTTCCTGAATCTGGGTAATGGCCTAGTTAGTGAAGGATTACTTGCTAGCCTCTGATTTATCTATATGTTCTGATATATATTAATTGCTGATTCTTTAAAAGTGAATGATAATTTAGTGATTATACTTTGTGTATCTCTCTATTGGTATGGAATGTTGGACCCCACAGAATCCCTTCACATGTAATATGAAGCACTTATTTTCTACTTACAAATAGTAGAGTAAGAATTCGTGGCTGGAGCAGGGGAGGCAGCATCAGTTGCATGACATTCCACATGCCCCATTGTCTACATGGCAGTGCTCCATCTCTTCCTGGTTCACGTGGATCTCATCACATAATCTTCACCAAGAGGGCAGATGAGGTTCTCTGGGCCTGTGTCTGGGAGCATAGGGCCATTGAGGAACACAGCAGAGGTGGAACCTGTCTATCTCATGCTAAGAGAACCCCCAGAACAGCAGACTTGTATGAATCTTTTACTGGGAGGTTGGTTCCAAAATGACTCAATCCACGGCGAAGAGATTAAAGAATAATTACATATGAGTTCTGACTCTTTTTTAAAAATATATTTTATTGATTATGCTATTACAGTTGTCCCATTTCCCCCCTTTGCTCCCCTCCACACTGCACACTTTCCCCCACCCACATTCCCCCACTTCAGTTCGTGTCCATGTGTCATAAGTTCTTTAGCTTCTACATTTCCCATACTATTCTTGCCCTCCCCCTGTCTATTTTCTACCTACCATCTATACTACTTATTCTCTGTACCTTTTACCCCTCTCCTCCTCCCACTCCCTTGTTGCTAACCCTCCACGTGATCTCCATTTCTGTAGTTCTGTTCCTGTTCTAGTTGTTTGCTTAGTTTTTGTTTTTGTTTTAAGTGTGGTTGTTCATAATTGTGAGTTTGCTGTCATTTTACTATACATGTTTTTTATCTTCTTAGATAAATCCCTTTAATATTTCATAAAATATGGGCTTGGTGATAATGAACTCCTTTAACTTGACCTTATCTGAAAAGCACTTTATCTGTCCTACCATTCTAAATGAAAGCTTAGCTGGATAGAGCAATATTGGATGTAGGTCCTTGCCTTTCATGACTTGGAATACTTCTTTCCAGCCCCTTCTTGCCTGTAAAGTCTCTTTTGAGAAATCATCTGGCAGTTTGATGGGAACTCCTTTGTAGGTAACTGTCTCCTTATCTCTTGCTGCTTCTAGGATTCTCTCCTTCATTTTTACCTTGGGTAATGTAATTATGATGTGCCTTGATGTGTTCCTCCTTGGGTCCAACTTCTTTGGGACTCTCTGAGCTTCCTGGACTTTCTGGAAGTCTATTTCCCTTGCCAGATTGGAGAAGTTCTCCTTTATTATTTGATCAGATAACTTTTCTACTTGTTGCTCTTCCTCTTCCCCTTCTGATACCCCTATAATTCGGATGTTGGAACATTTAAAGATGTCCTGGAGCTTCCTAAGCCTCTCCTCATTTTTTTGAATTCTTGTTTCTTCATTCTTTTCTGTTTGATTGTTTCTTTTTTCTTCTGGCCCACTCCACTGATTTGAGTCCCAGTTTCCTTCCCATCACTATTGGTTTCCTATGCAATTTCCTTCATTTCACTTAGTGTAGCCTTCATTTGTTCATGTAATTTGCAACCAAATTCAACCAATTCTGTGAGCATCCTGATCACCAGTGCTTTGAACTATACATCTGATAGGTTGGCTGTCTCTTAGTCACTTAGTTGTATTTGCTGTGGAGCTTTCATCTGTTCTTCCATTTGGGCCTTTTTAAATCTGGTGGTGCCTGTTATGTAGTGAGGGGAAGAGTCTTAGTTGTTCGCCAGGGTGCGGCAACCCACATCTCTGGGTTGTGACACTGTATGTGTGGGCTGGGTCTGAAAGGGAACAATGGCACTTGCTCTGCACTCTGTCAGATTTCAGTTTCTTCTGCCACTTCCCCCAAGCAAACTGGGCCTTTCTGGTGCTGATTCCCAGGAGGGTGGGCTTGTGCACGTTCTAGGAACCCATGGGTCTCTCCAGTGCACTCTCCTCTGAGGCTGGGAGTATCTCCCTGCACGTCAACCTCCACAGGTGTTTTCAATCAGTGCCCCAAGGCTCTATTTTCCAGTGCTGGGACCCTGGGGCCTCCCAGTGAACCAGCGGCTTTGTGTGCAGTGCCTCACTTCACAATAGCTGCCTCGCTGGGTCTGTCTATTGTCATCCCGGGCTGGGGTTTGCTGCCTGTGTGCCCAGGGTCCACCCACTATGGTCCTATGCACCCAGGATGCCTTATGTGCCCGGTGCCACTGCTTTTTGTGCTGCAACCCTTCTCTGCCCAGCTGCCTGACTCTGCCCTTCCTACAAGTCTGGGTGAATGTGTCTATTTTAACTCCTTGGTTGTCTGACTTCCATACAGTTCAATTTCCTGTCAGTACTGCTTGTTATCTTGTTTCTAAGTTGTTGTTGTCCTTATTTTGGTTGTGTGAGGAGGCACAGTGTGTCTACCTATGCCTCCATCTTGGCTGGAAGTCAGTTCTGACTGTTTTTTTAGTCAGGCCCTTACTTTCTGTGATAATATGTCATGAGATGGGATAAAATGTCCCATTTAATTGTATTAACCACACCAGAAACATTTGAACTTTTCTAGCTGAGTTAGGTGCATTCGGTATTGTTTTCTTGATTCTGTAAAAGGTTGTAGTATCAGTAGATTGAATCAAAGTATCAAACAGGCTGAGTAGACTATAGAAATGGCCAGTGGTTAATATTAGCCATTCCCCAGAACAGGGACGGAGGATGGCAGAGGGACTGATGCATTTTCTCAGTGGGATGCCTGAGGCAGAGTCTGGTTCATGACTGCATTAGATGACCTGTTCTAGGAAAACTCTGCCTGAGAGTCTGTGTGCTTCTACAAGCACTTTCTGTCACTGATGTCTCCTTGCCCCCCATCCAGTGGTGTAAATTTGACGACGATGTGGTGTCCAGGTGTACAAAAGAAGAAGCAATTGAGCAAAACTATGGCGGCCACGATGACGACCTCTCTGTCTGGCACTGCACGAATGCGTACATGTTGGTTTATATCAGGGAGTCCAAGCTGAGTGAGTAGGGGTGTCTGTTGTGCTCTACAGTGTCATGAGCTCTGTACTTGTACCGTGAACCACTGCCATGTCATTTTAGGCCACATCACAGTGGACCTAAGGTGTGTCTCCTGCCCAACACATTTCCTACTAATTTTGCGTTAGTCACAACATCTAGAAGCAGAATGGGTTGGGTTTGTGGGCTGTGATGTGGACTCATGGCACCAAGTAATTTCACTTCACTAGATTGCTATAGTAATGATGATGTGAAATTGGAACCTTTTAAGAGGTGGGAAATAGAACCTGACAGAAGTGAACGAAGGTGCATTTGTCCTGCAGGTGAGGTGTTGCAAGCTGTCACCGACCATGATATTCCTCAGCAGCTGGTGGAACGATTACAAGAAGAGAAAAGGATCGAGGCCCAGAAGCGGAAGGAGCAGCAGGAAGCCCATCTGTACATGCAAGTGCAGGTCAGCCTCAGTCTCCCATGACCCTGTGGTGGTTGGGACTCCAGGGAGGCCTGCTGGGAGCTACACTGCTCCAAGTGCTGGCATGAACATAGTCTTATTGCTGAGGGATCAGGGATTGCTCTGGGCATCCCCTTGAGCATTTTTAACTGAGTGACTGCACAGGCCAGTTCCCTGACCACTTGGACTATACACTTCAGTTCACGGTAAAGTCTAAGATGTGAGAAGTACTCAGGCCACCACAGAAGATCAGAAGATTATTTACAGAAAGTACAGAGGGGTTTAAAGGGGTGAAGGCCCCAATGAAAGGGTGCACGAGAAGGAAGAGTTAGCATTCAGAGGCCGAGCACAGCCCCGATGGGGTGTGTGCAGGTGGCACATCAGGCTGTGGGAAAGCCTGACACAGAGGACAGAGAAGGCAGGAGAACTCCAACAGGGTGGTGAATTTCCAGATGGTCTTGGTTCATGACTCTGCTGAGATATTAGGAAACAAAGAAGCATTGTTTTAACAAGTTGGTTACCTGGGCAAAGGTACATTGTGCATCCTATCTTTATAATATTTGGTGATCACCATACAGGTGGATTTCTAGCTAATGATTGTAGATGAGTTAAGAGTGGCTGCATGAGCATGGAGGCTTTTGTCTTCTTTAAATACATACCTTGATTTAGTTCTTAGTCATTCTGAAACTTTCCTCTTTGGGCCTTTTGAAGAAGGTTCCTAGAACCAAGACTAATTGTTTTTAGCATTTTATTATTTGAACTTTTTCTTGTTCAGCGCCATCTTATTTTATTTTGTATGTCAATTGTTCTGTATTTGTGCATGATTTCAGATAGTCGCAGAGGACCAGTTTTGTGGCCACCAAGGCAATGATATGTACGATGAAGAAAAAGTGAAGTACACTGTGTTCAAAGTATTGAAAGACTCTTCGCTTGCTGAATTTGTCCAGAACCTCTCTCAGACAGTGGTGAGTGCCAGTTGCTCTGCTGATGGTTGCTTTTGACTTCCAAGTTCCTCCCTCATTCTTTATAACTGGACAAGATAGTACCTTTTTGGGTAGGTGTTGTGTCTAGTCACTGCCTGGAAGTGAGGTAAGTGTTTGGAGCTCATTTTCTTGGTGGTCATGCCTGTGTCTGCACTGTGACGTAATCTTTCAACTGAATATGCAGTGAAGGAAGTTCAATGTGAATGTGAATCTTCTCTTTAGTATGCTCTTCCCCATTTTTTTTTCTTTTTCTAAAATGGGCACTTGAGTCTTGAAATACTAGTGATTGTAAAGGGAGCTCACTGTTCCCCAAATCAGTAGGCAGAACTGTAATAAGATTTTTTTTCTTAAGGGATGATTACATTGGTACAGAATTAAAATATGAACTAATTTTGTTTTGATTAAGTTTAAACTTTTTTTTGCCAGGGATTTCCACAAGATCAGATTCGATTATGGCCAATACAATCCAGGAGCAATGGTACCAAACGACCAGCAATGTTAGATAATGAGGCAAATAGCAATAAAACAGTAAGTGTTATTTTTTCTCTCTCTCCTTTTTTTTAAGGTTGTTCAAATACAGTTGTCTTCATTCCCCTCCACACCATCCCCATCCCAGCAATCCCTACCTCCCACCCTCGATTCTACCCCCCTTTGGCTTTGTCCATGTGTCCTTTATATAGCTTCCTTGACAACCCTCTTCCCTTCCCCCCATTATCCCCTCCATCCTCCCCTCGGGTTACTGTCAGTTTGTTCTTTATTTCCATGTCTCTGGTTATATTTTGCTTGCTTGTTTGTTTTGTTGATTAGGTTCCACTTATAAGTGAGATCATGTGGTATTTGTCTTTCACCACTTGGTTTATTTCACTTAGCATAATGTTCTCCAGTTCCATCCATGCTATCATACAGGGTAGGAGCTTCTTTCCTTCTCTCTGCTATGTAGTATTCCATTGTGTAAATGTACCATAGTTTTTTGATCCACTCATTTACTAATAGGCACTTAGGTTGCTTCCAACACTTGGCTATTGTAAATTGTGCTGCTATGAACATTGGGGTGCATAGGTTCTTTTGGATTGGTGTTTCAGGATTCTTAGGGTATATCCCAGCAGTGGAATTGCCAGATCAAAAGAGAGTTCCACTTTTAGTTTTCTGAGGAAGTTCCATACTGTTTTCCACAATGGCTGCACCAGTCTGCATTCCTACCCTCAGTGTACTAGGGTTCCCTTTTTCTCCACTTTCTCAGCACTTGTTTGTTGATTTGTTTATGATGGCCATTCTGATCAGTGTAAAGTGGTATCTTGTTGTGATTTTAATTTGCATCTCCCTGATAGCTAGTGATCCTGAGCATTCTTTCCTATGTCTCCGGGCTCTCTGTATGTCCGTCTTGGAGAAGTCTGTTCAGATCCTTTACCCGTTTTTCAATTGCGTTGTTTGTCTTTCTGGAATGGAGTCATGTGAGTTCTTTATATAGTTTGGAGATCAATCCTTCGTCTGAGGTATCATTTGCAAGTATATTTTCCCATATGGTTGTTTCTTTTTTCATTTTTCTGATGTTTTATTTAGCTGTGCAGAAGCTTTGTATTTTGATGAAGTCCCATTTATTCTTTCCTTTATGTCCCTTGCTCTAGGGGACATATTGGTGAAAATATTGCTGCATGGAATATCTCAGATTTTCCTCCCTATGTTCTCCTTTAGGACTTTTATGTTGTCACAGCTTAATTATTATAAGTATTTTATCCATCTTGAGTTTATTTTTGTATATGGTATAAGTTGGTAGTCAAGTTTCATTTTTTTGCATGTAGCTGTTCAGATCCCCCAACACCATTTGTTGAAGAGGATATTTTTACTTCATTTTGTGCTTCTGCCCCCTTTGTTGAATATTAATTGACCATAGAGCCTTGGGTTTATTTCTGGGCTTTCTGTTCTGTTCCATTGGTCTATGTGTCTGTTCTTATGCCAGAACAAGACTAAAACCCTAAGTGCTGTTGACAGTGGCACATGCAGTGTACCCTGCTATTGGCACTGCAGCATGTCTCCCTTTTTGTCCAGTTAGATACATTTTCTTCAGTGCATGAGTATAGATTTTCACTCTTTACTTCACCGTGCAAATTTTCTAAAATTGGCATCTCTTTTGGAACTAGATGATTGAACTCAGCGATAATGAAAACCCTTGGACCATATTCCTGGAAACAGTTGATCCGGAACTGGCTGCTACTGGAGCAATATTACCCAAGTTTGATATAGATCGTAAGTGCCCACCAATCACCTGACTACCTTCAGAGCAGTAGAGGCGGATTCCTGGGCCATCGTTCTACTCACACATGGTTGAGCATTATTCTTTTGCAAAGCAATCTTGTTAATTCCAAAATTGCTCATTAAACCCCTGCCATGGTCTAGGCTTCTTGATGAAGTGAAGTAGTACTGACCATGGGTTGTAGTGTCCTGGGAAAAGAGGAGAAGGTAGCCTCATTGAGTCATCACGTTCCATCTTTCATCTTGGCTCTCATGATTTGCTGATCATATTGGTCTTTTATATATTGGACAGAATACCTAGAACAAGGGTTGCAAACTTTTTCTGAGTAGGGCCAGATAGTAAATACAGTTGACTCTTCAATAACACGGGCTTGAACTGCAGGGGCCTGCTTATACATGGATTTTTAAAAATTAGTACTGTATTTTTTCTTCTGTATGATTTCTTTAATAACCTTTTCTCTAGCTTTATTGGAAGAATGTAGTATAAGATACATAGAATGTAGAAAATATGTGGCAATCAATTATGTTATCTGACAGGTTTCTGGTCAACGATAGACTATTAGTTAAGTTTTGGGGGAGTCAAAAGTTACATATGGGTTTTTGACTGCATGGGAGGGTTCCCCTAAACCCTAAGTTGTTAAGGGTCAACTGTATTTCATTCATTGTGGGCCACGTGCTTTCTACCTGCCATTGTAACATGAAAGTGGCCACAGATGATATGTAAGTGAACAGTCTGGATATATTCTAGCACTACTTGATTACAAAACAGGTAGGTACGCAGTAGCTGGTGTGGCTCAGTGGTTGAGTGCCTGTGTGCAACCTAATGGTTGCTGGTTCGATTCCCAGTCAGGGCACATGCCTGTGTTGGGAGCCAGGTCCCCACTTGGGGGCTTGTGAGAGGAAGCAGATTGATGTTTCTTTCTCTCTCCTTCTCTCTCCCTTCCCCTCTGTCCAAAATAAATAAATAAATAAAATCTTTTAAAAAAAAACCCTCAGATTGGTCAAAGTTTACTATAAGATTCTATTTTTAGTGCTAGCTGGTGTGGCTCAGTGGATTGAGTGCTGGCCTGTGAACCAAAATGTTGCCAGTTCAATTCCCAGTCAGGGCACATGCCTAGGTTGTGGTTCAGGTCTCCACTTGGGGGTGTATAAGAAGCAACCACACATTGATGTTTCTCTCTCTCTCTTTCTCCCTCCCTTCTCCTCTCTATAAAGACAAATCAAATCTTAAAAAAAAAAAAAGATTCTAGCCCTGGCTGGCGTAGCTCAGTGGATTGAGTGCAAGCTGTGAACCAAAGTGTTGCAAGTTTGATTCCCGGTCAGGGTACATGCCTGGGTTGTAGGCCATGACCCCCAGCAGCTGCACAATGATGTTTCTCTCTCTCCCCCCCTCCACTATAAATAAATAAATAAATAAAATCTTTGAAGAAAAAAAAGATTCTAGTTTTATTGCTTTATAAGTGGTCACTTCTTTAGCAAAGAATTACAACCATTGATATATATTGCCATGACAACACTCAGCCATCTAGTTAGTACAAGGTCCTAAACCTAGGACTCCTAAATTCTCTGCGCCTCATCCCACCCTCACTGTGTCACATGGAGTCTTTCAAGGGCTTTGATGTTTGGAGTGGTGCTGCAGTCACAGGACTTCTGTGACACAGTAATTTTACGTGCAGTAAGCTGACATTTCAGTGGCTTACTAAGTCCACCTATACTGATGTTTTAACAGTGTATTGAGCATTAAGATCCTAACCAAACCTGTTTTTGAACCTTGTAGGTGATGTGATGTTATTTTTGAAGATGTATGATCCCAAAACACAGAGCTTGAATTACTGTGGGCACATCTATACACCCATATCCTGTAAAATCCGTAAGTTTACTGCACTCACCTGCTGAGTTGATTCTGCTAAAGTCTTGGTGTGTTACAGCTTTGGATTCTTTTCTTTCTCCCAGGTGACTTGCTCCCGGTTATGTGTGACAGAGCAGGATTTGCCCAAGACACTAGCCTTATCCTCTATGAGGTTTGGATGGTTTATTTTTCCATAATCAGCCTATTGTTAGTGGTTTGAAGAGGGATTTTGTTGCCTGTTTTGCTAGCCCTGAATTTGTTATGTGTGATGTCGATAGTGAAGGTGACCTTGAGTTGAGTGTCACATTGGTAGATTTGTGATTTTACCAATTGAGGATCCATCAGTGATGATTCCATCTTTATGGATATTACTGTTTTCCATTAGCATTTCAAGTTATTAAAATACAGGGCTGATAGAATGGGATGTAGAGAAAAGACATACAGTATATGGCCATATTAAATATACAAATGTTGCATTGTAACTATTTCATTTCTTTACTCTAGGAAGTTAAACCGAATTTAACGGAGAGAATTCAGGACTATGATGTGTCCCTTGATAAAGCCCTCAATGAACTAATGGATAGTGATATTATAGTATTTCAGAAGTACGTATGTTTTGAAGGATTGTATCACTTTATACTGTCAAGTTTGGACCTTTTGTCGTATAGCAAGAAACAAAATTATGTCTAGACCCAGAGACAGTTTGTTTGAAGTTCCTTACAATGCTGAGAGAAGTTGGCTGTCTCTGGGTTTTAGAATTAGGGGTGGTGAGGATTTTCATTACTTAATGTTTAGTGTCCTATAAATGTCTATAGTGAGGATGATAACTGTTATCTGGATGGCAAAAGTCTTTATGAAATATCAAGATTGCATTCCTTCCCTCAAATATAGGACATTTCTTAGAATGCACCTACTTAGGTAATTGATTTAAACTTGACTATGAAACCAGCAAGTCTGTGGTCTTAGTCTGAAATCAACCTGGGGTTGCCTATTCCTTGCTCTTCAAGCATCTGAGCAGGGTGGTCCTGGCACAGGTTGTGGGCAGGTGGAGGAATGCAGTGGCCCAAAGCAGGGCCTGGCATGCTTTTGTCGTAGGGGCCAGGAAATCAGTATCTGGGGCTTAGTGACTACTCGATCCCACTGCCTGGGCCTGAAAGTGCCACCTGCTGGCTCCTGGATGGTCAACAGGCTCTGCCACGTTCCTGCTGTGTGGGCCCACCTGTCACCTGAGTCCTTCCCCCTGTCTGTAAAGGAGAGGGCACTGGTTTTCATGTTGAGATCCAGGAAGGGAAGGAGCAATGTGTGTAGCTCACAGAACACCTTCTGTAGGTGATTGCCTTCCTTCATTGTCCCTGTCTTACCAAGATTCCTGGGAGGACCCCTTGCCTCCTAAAATAGGACCTTAGATTTATATCCACAGCTATTGGTGTCAGTGTTGCTTGAGAGATGAAGACCCTGGTCTGGGCTTTTTTTTTTTTTTAAGAGATTTTATTTACTTATTTTTAGAGAGAGGGGAGAAAAGGGAGAAAGAGAGAGAGAAGCATCAATGTGTGGTTGCCTCTCACATGCCCACTACAGGGGACCTGGCCTACAACCCAACATATGCCCCAGTTGGGAATCAAATTAGTGACCCTTTGGTTCACAGACCTACAATCAAGCCACTGAGCTATACCAGCTGGAGCTTGGCCTGGGCTTTGATTTCATCTACAGATTGTTTTTCTCCCCCCAGGGATGACCCTGAAAATGATAACAGTGAATTACCCACTGCAAAGGAGTATTTCAGAGACCTCTACCACCGTGTTGATGTCATTTTCTGTGATAAGACAATCCCTAATGATCCTGGATTTGTGGTCACGTTATCAAATAAAATGAATTATTTTCAGGTATTTGATAAATGCTCTTATGCCTTCCTGTTCTACACCAGAAAGACCAAGTTCTTCTTAAAAATGCTTGCTGATGAGACTGATAGAATGGGTTCAGGAGAAAGGGGTTAGTCCCATTTCTGAGGAAATTGCTGACTGAAGTGGGTTGGTGCTATCTCACGATGGGGCCAAAGCCGTTCTTTTCTGTGCCACCCCTCCCACACCCACTACCATGTCCACCTGCACTCTGGTCCTTCAAAAGCTTCTCTACGCTGGCACAATGTGGTTTCAGAGGTAACAGTGGTAACAGCTCCTTTGCTTCAGTTACAACATGCCAAGTGTAAAGCACTAAAAAAATTATTAATCAGAAAATTTAAGTACCTGTAGACCTCACCATTAAAGTGAAAGTCTCTTTAAAAGTTATCTCCACCAGATAGGCAACACCCGTGGTTGTATACTTTATTTCTGTTAGAGAGTAAATTCCTAGGGCATTTAAATTCAGGCTGCTCATATCACATTTCTTTGAGAACATGAAGCGGCTAATTATTGATAAGCGTATAAGCAAATTTCAGTTTATTCCCCCAAATGTGAACCTTTCTGATTTCTGGTCCCTTCCCTTGTCTCAGGTCGCAAAGACAGTTGCACAGAGGCTCAACACGGACCCAATGTTGCTCCAGTTTTTCAAGTCTCAAGGGTAAGCCTCACAGAGACCCTCAGTGTTTGGTTATTACCACATGCTTTCCATAGTTCATCCCAACATCTTGGAACGAACTTTAATAGCCAGCCACATCACCTGACATGCCATTTCTTGCTTAGCTTCAGATGTAGAATTGCCACCAGTCATCCTTGACCACACTACTCCAAGAGGTCAAACTAATTGGTGGCCTCATCTAAAGTCACACTTACTTTAGCTATGTCATCAATAAATACATCCCCTCCACAGTGTCCAGCTGGGGTCGTCCCAGCCAGACTTCTCTGTGCTGTGTGACCATTGCAAGAGCATTCAGGCCAGAGGGACTGAGGACTCGGGAAACAGGAGCATTAGAGTGGAACCCTGTGCCAGGCCCAAATTTCAAGTCTAGGTGCAAGGCCAGGGGTTTGCTTTTCTGCTCATTCACAGATATTTGTTTCAGGCAAATAAACGAGTCACTTATTTATATGCTGTTTTCTTGTGTAGTTATAGGGATGGCCCAGGTAATCCTCTTAGACATAACTATGAAGGTACTTTAAGACTTCTACAATTCTTCAAGCCTAGACAACCTAAGAAACTTTACTATCAGCAGGTATGAGTCCAAATTAATGTAACTGTGGGTAATAAAGAGAAGCCTTGGGTTTTTGTGTAAGCATATCTAAAATAAGCCTCTCTTTTCTTAATAGCTTAAGATGAAAATCACAGACTTTGAAAACAGGCGAAGTTTTAAGTGTATATGGTTAAACAGCCAATTTAGGGAAGAGGTAAGTTTTTTTAATGGCAAGAATTTTTAATTTCATTGGAGCTTGTGTATGGTGTCTGCCCAGAGCTTGAAAACTAAAATGACAAATGAAAGCACAGTGAGTGACAGCATGTTAGAGGGTCCGAGGCCAGGGTTTGGGAACCCGGGTGGGTGTGGGTGTGAGATACAGTGCCCCCCTGCTACCACCTCTGAACCCTGGGGGATGAATAACAGTGTCACCTGCCTGGACCCTCCAGGAACTCTTTCTGCACGTCTCAAGTCATTGCACTGCCACCTGGCCCGGGGCAATATTTTCTCAAACCACTTCAGGCCTCAGTGAGTGCAGCAGCTGGCCTTCAAGTGGTGTGGACACTGGCTGTGCTGGGCACTCACCTTGGACATTACCAGCACAGGCCGCTGCAGTGCCTCATGCTTGTTGGGCACAGAGGACACGACATGCCCAGCCGGCACGTTAGCTGGTGGTTCTAGAAAGTCTGTTCTGCTTGGATCCCGAGTCTCCTTCACCTTTCTTGCTCTGCCCATTTTGAGAGATAATTTCAGCCACTCACCACAGGCATTCAATCCTGTGTGGAGTGGAGGTTGACATTGAAAAGCCCACCTCTGGTCACGGTCCAGATTAACTGGCCTTGTTACTGTGCCGAGAACTGGAAAGGCTTGTAGATGCTCTTCATGGGGATCATTTCCTGAGAAGCTGTCCTGGAAATGGCAAACTTTTTGCCTTTAAGTGAAGTGGCATTTTTGTTTGTTTTGTTTCATTTTTTTATTGAATGTATTGGGGTGACATCGGTTAATAAAATGATATTATAGGTTTCAGGTATACAGAAAGTGGCATGTCTTCACGTCCCCTCAGTACTTTGTGGGTCCCAGGTTTGGGCAGATCATCTGAGTGAAGTCAGGCATTGGGCAGTCCTGGCGGGAATGTAAATGAGGAAGTGCTGGGGAGCTAGAGACAGTTGAGGACTCCTATTCTGTTTTTTCTCTCTTCGAGCAAAATTGGTTTGCTATAGCAAATCCATTGTGTTTTCTTTAAAGCACTTTTTTTCCATCTTGTCATTTCTTAGGAAATAACACTATATCCAGACAAGCACGGGTGTGTCCGGGACCTGTTAGAAGAATGTAAAAAGGCCGTAGAGCTTGGGGAGAAGACATCAGGGAAACTTAGGCAAGTATTTCCTGGAGCCTGAGGTGGGCTGGAGGGGCAGTGGTACCAGCCCAGCTGTGCAGTTGTGTTAATGGAAATCGAACACCACCAGAACCCTTGTGCATTGTTGCCAGATTCATCCCAGACTAAGGTCTGTCTTTTGCAGCGGTTTTTAAATATTTCACAGTTAATCCATTTTTCCTCTTGTCTTTCTAGTCTCTTGATATTAACTACCTATAGTAAAAATGTGTAATTCAGGTGAAAAGGCAAGCAGAGGAAGGATGTGATTCGAGTAGAGTGATAAGTGAAACTGGAAAAAGCTGCCGTGATGGTATTTGAGAAATTGGGCCACTACTGACGCGTAGCCAACATTCAGGCTGTAGGAGGAAGGAGCAGATGAGGAACAGTTTTTATTTCAGACAGCTGGATGCTTTTCTTAGCATGTCACTGTCCAGTCAGCTGTAGGACAAAACAGCCCTTGTGGCCATAGGCTCGCAGAATGTTTTCTCTCTAATATCATTAAAAGAAAAGGACCTTTATTCTCCAAGGGTATGTGAGAAAAATAACACAGGTCCTGCCTAGCGTGGGACTCCTGGAGGGAAGATCCACACAGTTCCAGGAGACCCAGCTTAACTGAGTCTTGCAGGTGTGGATGGGAGGGGGGAGGGTCCCCTTCACTCCACTGAGGCACATTCTGGGTGGGGGGCCACCTGACCAGTGTGGTGTCTGCTCCCCCAGATGCCTGCTTTCGACATTTCAGATCTTTTAAAAAGAAAGAAGACAAGCATCTCATGGTAGATTTAATAAGAAAACTATTTTGTCAGTCTTTTTGTTCACGTGAATTTATCTTTCACCCCTAACTTGTTTTGTACAGGCTGCTAGAAATCGTAAGCTACAAAATTATTGGTGTGCACCAAGAAGATGAACTACTAGAATGTTTATCGCCTGTGACGAGTAGAACATTTCGAATAGAGGTAACCGTCCCTTTCTTGGCACTAGGGAGAGTTCTGCACCCTTGGTGGTTAGAGCAGCTGTCACCCACTTGGTTCAATGGTCTTACTGAGATCAAATATACATAACGTGAAATTCACCATTTTAAGTATATGGTTCAGTGGCATAAAGTATATTCACACTGTTGAGCACTTGTCACCTCCATCCACTGCCACAATCTTCATCTTTTCCACCAAACACTCCACACCCATCAACATTTTTCCTGCCCAGCCCCTGTAAACCACCATTCTACTTTCATGGAATTTGACTACACTAGGCACCTCCTATAGACAGAATCAGGCAGTATATGTAGTTAGAAAGTAATTTTAAGTGTTGGCCACCAGGTAGCTCTGTTCTGGAACTGGGTGTCAGTTGGGTTCTGGAGTGGCTAGAATTTCCACAGTAACTGGAAGAATGCATTACTTGCTGTCTTAAAACTTAGCTGTATTGCCCTGGCTGGCGTAGCTCAGTGGATTGAGTGCTGGCTGCGAACCAAAGCATCACAGATTTGATTCCCAGTCAGGGCACATGCGTGGGTTGCGGACCAGGTCCCCAGTGGGGGCCACGTGAGAGTCAACCAAACATTGATGTTTCTCTCTCTCTTTCTCCCTCCCTTCCCCTCTCTAAAAATAAATAAATAAAATATCAAAAAATTAAAAAAAACTTAGCTATATTGTGGCTCCGACCTCTTACCATTTTAACAGGAGCCAAACATGGCATTTTGACCAAAATACGATCTAACTTCCTCATTGGAGGAGCAGTGGGAAGTAAAACATGGCCTTTTGTCTGCATTGAGTGCTTTGCTGACCTGTGTTTAAAATGTGTCCCCAGGAAATACCTTTGGACCAGGTAGACATTGATAAGGAAAATGAGATGCTGATCACAGTGGCACATTTCCACAAAAAAGTGTTTGGGACGTTCGGCATCCCGTTTTTGCTGAGGATACACCAGGTGAGGTTTTGTGGGTAACACGTTGAAAGGCCTCCAAAACTTGAAGGCTCGCGCCCTTTTTGGGTTAGTGTTGCTACAGCTGGTTTCCAGCCTTGTGGGCAGAAAGTGGGTTTTGATGGCGTCCCTGTGGGCCATGAGCATCTGCCACAGTGCAGCACAGGTAGATGAGCACTCCTGTCCTCTCCGTTTGTAGGGCGAGCATTTCAGAGAAGTCATGAAGCGCATTCAGAGTCTGCTAGACATCCAGGAGAAGGAGTTTGAAAAGGTATGCACTTCCTGGACACGGGAGTCATTCAGCGGGCAGCATTCTGGAATCTGGACTAGAAAGGCAGCCTAGACTTTGCCAGAGGTGAGTTTTGCTGACATCCAGAACTGATGGGGCAGTTTTCATGTTTGTGTTTTAGTTTAAATTTGCCATTGTGATGATGGGCCGGCACCAGTACATAAATGAAGATGAGTACGAAGTGAACTTGAAAGACTTTGAACCTCAGCCTGGTAAGAGCCCTGCCCCAGTTTTCTTTCCAAGTGGGGTTGGATCTAAGCAGCAAGTGGTAAGAGGCTGGAGGTGGAGAGCCCTGGGTCTAGTGCCACCTCTTCCTTTTCCACAATGGGAGGCCTGGGCTTCCTCACCTATCTGTAAAGGGAGGAAGAGCAGTAACCCGTGAATCCCCCTGCGGATTAGAGCATTGCTCAGTGGCTGAAGGAGGTGAGACCCAAGGCCGAGGTGTGAGTGGCCCTGTGAGACTGGCAGGCTCTGACAGTGCTGCACGTGGAAGCCACCGAGACGTTCGGTCAGGGTGTGGGTGCCCTTGGCTTCACAGGCGTGCAGCTCAGAGTCCCTGCCTCACCGTGACCCCAAACCAGCGCATTGGCCCTGCTCAAGTGGTTGGCCGCTCTTGGAGTGGGGGTCCCGGGCACTTGGCTCTGTGGTCTCATTGCCCCTCTCTCCCCACCAGGTAACATGTCTCACCTTCGGCCATGGCTAGGGCTCGACCACTTCAACAAAGCCCCAAAGAGAAGTCACTACACCTACCTTGAAAAGGCCATTAAAATCCATAACTGACTTCCTCATCCCGTGTGTGCAAGGCAAGGACTGCGTGCAGGTGTGTGCCCCTTTTTAACAGCGAGAACTCTGGTACATGTGCGCTCTGGCCGAAGTCTTCAGCAAGAAGATTTGCTGCTGGTGTTAATTTTATTTTGTTGAGGCTGTTCAGTTTGGCTTCTCTGTATCTATTGACTACCCTTCTTGAGCAAAATTAAGGTGTTTTTATAAAGCTTGGATGCCAATGAGAGTTATTTTATGGTAACCACAATGCAAGGTAACTGTCAGTATAATGTGGAGAAGAGGTTATTGCAGGGGTCCCAACCCCCTGGGCCAGGAATGGCAACAGTCCTTGGCCTGTTAGGAACCAGGTGGCAAGGGAAGCTCACCTGCGCTCCACATCCTGTTCTCCTCCCTGGTCCACCCTCCACCCCTTCCCCGTCCATGGAAAATCAGGTCCCTGTTGCTAAAAGGGTTGGGGACCACTGGGTCAGTGGGACACGTGGCACTGGCAGAAGGTCTCTAGTCTCTGTCTAGTTGGCATAAGCTGCCTGGCTGCCTCCTGGGGGTCCGGGTCGCCACCCTGCCCGCAGCCAGTCAGGCTTATGTTTAGGCTCCTCTGACGTTCTTTCCTTCAGTTACACTTTTAGTGCCCTTTTGTGCGTCTGTAAAGGCAAAACAGAGAAACTCACAAGCTAATAAATAGCGCTCTTTCCTTCACTGCGTGTCCTGTCACCCCTTCCTCAGTTCTCTCCCTAGCCACCTGGGCCGTTACAATAAACCCGTCTCATTTCCATCTGCCACTACTGTGCTGCAACCCATTTGCAACGTGGATGCACTGAATACAGTCTGACAGGCACTCTGGGGGCTTTTTACTAAATGGAAAGCACTGTTAGATATGATTAAGGTGTACTGTGCTGCCTGTCAGCCAACTTCATGATCTCGAGAGTTCACACAAGCAGGTGAAACAATTATAAATAGAACTTTTCTTAAAATGGAACAGATGGAACAAAAAAAGAGCCTTTTAGCAAAGAGGGCATGCTCACTAGTGGTTAGTAAGCTGTTGACTTTGTAAAAAGGTTAAAAATAAAAAAAAAAGGAAAAATGAAATTGTATATTTAATGAATGGACATGTACAATTTTCCGCTTGGAGGAGGTGACTTTCTGTTGGGTGAATCTACAAGTGACTCTCACTGATGTTGATATTCATCGTGTGTAGTTTTATTTCAGTCCCGACCTTTTCTTTTGGAGCTAATGCCAGCTGCGTGTCTAGTTTTGAGTGCAGTAAAATAGAATCAGCAAATCACACTGACTTTTCGTCCTTCCCCAGTATTTTTGTTTGTTTCTGTAGCAGCAGTGGACACCAACTCTTCCTGTATATTGCCTTTTTGCTGGAAAATGTTGTATGTTGAATAAAATTTTCTATAAAAATTATAATTCAGTGAGTGACGTGGAAGTTGAGGAAGATTTCTGCCTTCCCTAGAGAGAGGCTTTGGGAACCTTTTCATTTAAAACAAGAATTTACTGAGATATCCCCCGGCCCGCCCCCCACCCTCCCTCCCAATTTCAGTATTGCTGATGTACAATTCCAGCTTCTTCATTTTCCTTCTTTTGGTTGCCTCTGACTAGTCTCATTTAAGCTTAAGAAATAAAAGATTTCCTGATGCATGGGTCCCTGGCCAGCAGTGACCACGGAACACTGTGGATGGCTTGACGAAAACACGCGAGAAAAAAAACACATGAACAGAGACAAACTAGTTTCTATGGGGAAGTAGGGACGAAATGCCCCCCCCCCCCAGTGGGGACCGCGCTGATTTACCGTCCATACCTGCTTTTATTAGGCTCATTTTGCATAATAATTCAGGTAAAGTACAGTACTCATTAGGGGGAAGTAAGGAACCATAGAAAACAAGGAACTCGGCCAGTCTATTTTGAGTCGGGGTCAAAGAGCTGTAAGATTTTGAGGAACAAACTAACTTCCTCCTTGGACCCCTCTCATTCAACTGAGAGCATTCTAAACAAAGAAGGTTTCACAGTAATTTACATGTTCTTTCTTAAGCCTGATCACCCAAGGAATCCGCCCTTTTCAGCACAGAGCTGCACCACCCTGTCATTGTTTCAGGCTTAGGTGGAGCACGGGAACCAAGGCAACCAAGAGATAAGGAGATTTTCTCCCAGACCATGAGAACTCAGGCTATGTCAAAGCTGAGGAGCAAGGGTCCATCACCCCCTTTTGCTGAAGCCCCCAAAGTCCTTCTTTTGGGGGGCCTCCCAAAGTGATCGTGCCTGTCTTAGGTCGTTCCCCCCTTGGGGAATCTTACCCGTCTTTGGCAAACCAACCAAGCTTTTTGGGGTTCAGTTATGAATAAAGCAGCAGAAGCAGCATTCCTGCCAGGGAGATAAGCTTTTGTCTCCTTGCTGGCTTACTGTTCCAAGGGCGTTCCCTTAGCCTTAGCCTAGGCGGGGGTTTCAGCTTCTGATACCAGTCAGGGCGGTTCCCAACAGTTTCCAGGTGGGAACCATTACAAATAAGACGACTGGAAATATTATTGAAATGGTGGAAGGTGCAGTGAGGGGGCACTGGCGTTCAAGTAGCCGTGGCCTTCCACATGGCTCACCCCGGTGGCCTCGTGCACTGTTTGTGGTCTCTGGGCTGGTCTGTTCCCCAGGGTGACTCCTTCCAGCTCCCGCTCTGATGGGTGTGCTTCCATACCCCTAGAGCTGCCCTTGGCCAGTGCATGGATGGCACTGCCCCTCTGTCTTATCAGTGAATGTGCTGATTTTTAGGTTTGTTTGTTTTAGGTTTTGGCTGAAGGTAGGTTATCGTCTTGGGTAACTGAGACAATTCTCCCTGAAGTTACTGAATGACTTTATATAAGATTTTTTTTTTTTAATAGCATGGATGACATGTGCTGCGTTTTTTCCATCCACTCTTCGTTAGGGTATTAGGGGTCTGAGTTCACAAAACTGATTTTGGGGGACAGGGGTGGACACACACAGCCTCTCAAACAGCTCACTCTGAACTCCAGAGAATGTTCCATCCTCTCCCTCTAGGATGTCGATGTCTCATGTTGGTGATCTGACTCCCAGAATGATGGGTCCCTGGCAACCATAGTTCAGCAGGAAGGAGAGGGGCCCACCCCAGGTGTACACTGAAGCAATGTGCTGGGAGACATGGTCACCTGTTAAAACTGAAAGAGCATACTAGGTAGGGAACAGGGCTTGGCCATTGCCATCTGTTTAACAGCCTTTCCCAGAGCACCTTCCCAAGGCCCCTGCTGGTGCAGCGGGGGACCACTTTTGAAACGAGTTGCTGGCCTTCCTCCCAGAGCTTCAAGTCAGCTGTGCTGGGGACCGCCACATCCAGCAAGAAGTGAGGCACATGTCTGCAGTATTGTTAGGGAGCATCCCCATGGTAACATGTTTACAATACCAGCGTCTCCGTGTACCACTCTGCGAGGTGGGGGCTTTGGCGTATGGTGAAAGCTCGAGGGACAGGCAGTGGCAGCAGAGGCCCCCGGTGAGGCAGGCCCCTGGGGCAGAGTCCTGTGACTGCAGTGAGAGCAAGCCGTGTCCAGAAACCGTGTCTTCCGAACAAGGCCTTAACTAGGGCCTTGCTCACGCATGCCTGTGCCCACTTGGTTTTCAGGCAGATGTTTGTGGTTTGGGTGCTGTGTGGAATGAGATTTCCAGCAGCTCCCTGAAGCCTCCCGTTTGAAACCACTTGTGTACTTGAGAGTGTGACACACTTTTGGCTCTTGGGCCTTGTTGTGGTTGTGGTGGGACTACAGCTTTGCCGCTGGAGCGAAATGAGGCTGCTGACCAACTTAAGTGGGTGGGTGAGGCCGAGCTTGGTAGCACTTCATTTATAAAAACAGGCTGAAGTCACGAAGTTCGCTGAGTTCCGGACTAGAGGGCAAGGGAGCACCTTCGGGGGATTCCTGGTTGGCTGGTGCCATCTGATTAGGATGGTCCAGCAGCGAGGAGGTGCATCAGAATGACCGTGGAGGTCAGCCTCGCCCCCCACTGAAAACACAAAAACTGTCAAATCCGAACTGTGTCCCAGGTCTGTGTTGTGATTCTGTTCTTTCTGGCCAGTGCTGGCAATTTTGTTGTGGCCTGGCGCTCTTCGGGATTATCTGCCAAGGTGACTTTTCATTTGACCTGTTGGGTTTGCAGGACCCCTGAGGCACCCAAAGGGAGGACTGGGATGCAGGTGAGGATGGAAGCCTCAGGGGTGATGTGAGAGGAGACCTAAGACAGGACCATGGCGGGCATCAGCAGGACAGGGCGTCCTGGTGGGGCCCACAGCTGGTGGCTGGGGAACCGCTGCTGTACAGGTAGGCAGCAGAGTGAGGGTTGGGGGCTGCAGAGAGGCCAGGCAGGTAGGCAAGGGGGAATGTGTCTGGTGGATGTTGGGTTTAGCAACAGGAAGTCACTGGTCCAAGCAGGCAGGGCAGGGGGCCAGGTGTGGGCCTGGGCGTGGTGGGTCCCAGAGAGCGTGGCAGGTGGGGATGTAGCAGGAGATGACGGGAAGTGAGCGCCCTGGCTGGAGTTGCAGAGAGACACGGACGAGGGGATGTAGAAGCTTGAGCTGATCAATGGATTGTGGTTTTTAAGGGGTCAGAAGAGCATGGGCCCTGAGAAGAAAGGGCTAGGCATAATTCTTTCACCCGGGGCTAACTGAGCACCTACTGTGTGCAGACACAGGTCTGAGAGCCAACCTGGCCTTGTATGGGGACAGGAGGGCGGGGGAAGGACAGGCAGCCACTGCTTCAGTCCCTTCACACCCCCCGGACAGGGCTTGCGGTGGGGAACCCCAGCAGGACAGACGCAGGTGGGTAAAGTTCTCTTAATACACATTTATTTCACGGAGGTTCCCAGGCGATGGTAGTGGAAGAGTATATGCCCACACACAGGACATGTGTGCTTCACATCCATGAATCTGTCCATGTAGAAAGGGAGGAGACAGCAACCCAGGAAACACCTGCAGCCTCGGGAGCAGTGGGCCGTGGGCTGGGGTCCAGGCCGGAGGGTGCTGGGCTCACCCCAGGGTCAAGTCAAGGCTGCACACCACCATCCTTGGTCCTGCCTTGCCCGCTCTGCCAGGCGTCCTCCCCACCCTGGAGGCCCTCCCCAGCCGATGGTCAGGGCCCCCACTCACCCAAACACAAAGAGGCCTGTACACAGCATCCAGGTGAGGACCCCCGGGACCGGGGTGGTCACTGTGAGGATGTGGTTCCCACAATATGGACAAAGGCGCTGCATCGGCAATGCAGATGCCATCCTAGGCACACCGCTGAACGCAGCTTGAGGGGCCAGGAGGGGAAAGCTCAGACCTCACATCCACTCCTCCCACTCCCCAGTGTCCACCGCTGGGTAGCCCCTGCATGGCCTATGCCCTTCTGCAGGGGCCCTAGGCCCCCCTGAGCAACTCAGGCTGTCCACATGGGCCCCCATGTCCCCCTGCAGCCCCTTCCCTACCAACCACCAGCTCTCAGGGCCCAGGGTATGCCTCAGTCAAGACACATTGCTGTTGGTGGCCAAGGGACCCAGGAGGTTGGGGAGCACCTCTGGGTGTGAACTCAAACTTCAGTGTGTTCCCCACGACATCCTGCCCATACATCCCCTTTGGGGTTTTTGTTTAACTCAGCCAGAGCTGGTTTCTAACCTGGCAGTTTAAAAACTCTGACACCCTTGGTAAAGCAGTTGCATTAAAAACAAAAATAAAATACTCCACTCCCACCAACAAAAACCCAAAAGCCTTCTTGGTGATACTCTTCTCATCTCTTCCTCTTGCATTTGTACGAAAGTGTGATTAGCTCCTTTAAACATTGTAGCCATGTCTACCATCTTGGGTGTGCAGGGAAGGATGGGCTTTGAATTTACTGGCTGAACTTATTGTCAGGAAAACCCAATTCCGGGGAGCTCTGGTGTTCTGGACTGAGGGCTCAGGGCCTCGCCTGGGTGGACTGTTCAGTGTTGTGAGGAGGGCTTATGACCACGACAGACTTTGGCTTCTTCTGGGGTTCAGGGTGAGGGGGGTGCTGGATTGGAGAGCTAGAGCCAGGTATGTGGGGTATAGACTCCTCGGTTTGGCGGAGAACTCAGGAAAGAACTACCTATGGCTAGAAGGGGGTGGCTCACACTCTCTAATGGCCTTTGCAACAGCAAAGATGCCATCTACTTTCTGCTCCAGGGAAATGTACAGCCCAGCCCAGCAGCTCTCAGCCCTCAGGGGGTTCCTGAGTTCCTTGGCCAGTGTGTTTAACATTCCAAAAGCCCAGACCCCACCCTGGGGGCCTGCATCCCCCTCACCTGTGGTTGGAGTTAGGGTCTTTGCAGAATAGAGAAGAGGATTTACTCCTGAGCATCTACTATGTACCAGCCCCCTGCACCAGTGATTTCCCATTGGAGAGAAGTGCTCATGGCCATGGGCAAATGGCCACTGGTGGCTGTGGGGCAGGGAAGGAGGACTTCCCAGAGGAGATGCTGTTTGAGCAGCATCTTGGTGAGTGGTCAGGGCAAGGAGGGAAGGCAGGCAGGATTGCTCACCTGGGCGAATAGCTCGGGAGTTTTGGAAGTACATTGGATGAGGTGGTTGAATTCCTGGAGGTGGAGGAGGTGGTAGAGGAGGAAGAGGAGGAGGAGGTGGAGGAGGAGGTGGAGGAGGAGGTGAAGGAGGAGGTGGTGGCGATGGTGATGGCTCTTTGGGAGAGAGAAAGGAAACATACTCTCAGATATGATGGCCCTCTATGTGCCAGGCACTGAGCGATAACTTGGTCAGCCTGAGGGAGAAACCCATTTTACAGGAGAGAAAGCTGAAACCTAGAAGAATGAATCAACTTGCCTGCAGTTGGAAGGCTGTTTGGACAAGGGATTCTGGGATCCTGGATCCCCAGAGTGTGGTCTGAGAGAGGCAAGGATGGGAGCCCCCATAATTTGAACGACAGTGTGGGCGATGGCTGGAGACCCCCGTGTGTTTCATTGGGAACCACTCGGGCACTTTGCATGGGAACCTGACCCTCCCAGGAAAGGAGCTTCATGGCTCAAGGGGGGCCCCCTGGGTTCTCCCCACCCAATGCCTTTCCCCAGAGAAGGAGCAACCAGGAAACAGGAACCCCCCTACCCCTGCTTTTTGCCACATGGTCTAGACTCTTTGGAACAGAAAAGGTTTCTTACCCACCCTGTGCCCCCAGCAGTCACACTAGGGCCTTGTTTTTGTACCCATTTTACAGATGACAAAACTGAAATTCAGAAGTTAAGTACCGCCCTGGCTGGCGTAGCTCAGTGGATTGAGCACGGGCTGTGAACCAGGTATCGCAGGTTCAATTCCCAGTCAGGGCACATGCCTAGGTTGCAGGCCATGGGCCCCAGCAACCGCACATTGATGTTTCTCTCTCCCTTACCTCTCTAAATATAAATAAATAAATAAATAAAAAATCTTTTAAAAAAACTTTAAAAAAAGAATGCATGTAAAATGCAGTTTCACTTAAAAAAAAAAAAAGAAAAAGAAAAAAGAAGTACCTAGCCCAGGGCTGCCAGCTAGAAAGTTGTGATCTCTCACCAAGTTAGCAACTGCCCAGACCTATGACAATCATATCATTTCATCCTCTTGCCCATTTTCAGATGAGAAAACAGATTCAAAGGGGTTTGGTGACTTAAGTTGAGAATAGCATGGCCAGAATCCTACCCCACTCCACCCATCAGTCCAGGTGTCTCTGGGGCAGAGGAGGGCAGATCATACCAGACATAGGGTGGTCATTAGCTTTGCTCCACGGTCTTCTTGTGACACTTTAAGAGAGGGCACGGGATGTTGAAGACCTCACTTTGTCCCCATTGGGTCACATGGTCCCAGGTTTGTGGGGACAGCAGGACTTGGGGGAGGTGAGGACTGGAATCAGCCCCCAGCTCAGCAAAGGGACACACAGTCTTCTCTCCTGCTTCCCGGGGGCCCCTCCTTCAGCCTGTCGCTGGCCTCTCCCAGCCCTGAAACTCTAGGGGCTCCCTCACCCTGGGGAGGATTCCATCTTGGCACACTGGGCGTCCTTTGTTCCAGCAATGGCACCAAAGCATCATCGGGTTCCACGTTCTGAGCGGCTGAGTGCTTGTCTCCAGCAGTCTTCATTGTGGCCTGGCTGCCTGCAGACAGGAGTGCAGGCCTTCTCCAGCACCTCTTGCTGGGCCTGGCTCAGGTGGAGCGGCCATTGTGATTGTGTGTCCTCACAATGGCCAGAGGGGGAGTGTCATCCCCATCCTCTGCAGGAGGGGGTGGGGCTTTCCAGGGGTCCAGCCTAGGGAACCTCTGAAGATGGCCCTTCACCACTGTCCACAGCGCCATGCTGTGCGCAGTGAGGAAGCTGGCACCGAGCTTCACAGGGCGGGGTGGCAGAACCTCTCTGGAGCCTTAAAGGGACGAATTTGATTAGGGCTAGCGACTCTGCTTCAAGGAATTTTGTCCTGTTCCATGCAAAAATCTAGTTGTGAGGATGTTCATGTCCTCTTTTTTGTAGGTGGGTATTTATACATACACACATGTATATATGTATGAGGCTTGTCTGAAAAATTTGAGCCTTCATTAACAAAACTATGGTATGCACAACATCAGTGTAACCTGACAGCCAAGTCAGTGGACTGGAATGTGCGTACATGAACAATGATGACTTCACTGTACTAGTCAGTGGGGGCATTAGGTGCTATTCAGTGAGCATATGTACTGTGTGGCTGTTGCATTCATAATGACTAAGTGCGCAGAGCAACGAATCTGTATCAGATTTTGTGTTATCCCTTGAATATTTCTCCAGAGAAACGATTCAGATGATTCAGAAGGCTTTTGGGGACAATACAATGAAAGCAGCACAAATAAAAGTGTGGCACAAATGCTTCAAACATGGTCGAGAATCTGTTGAAAGTGATTCACATTCTTCCGGATAGAAGGCCTGCAAGAAGCAGAACACCTGAGAATATTGCACTTGTACAGGCTGCAATCAATAAAGACTGGCGACTGACAGTGTGAGAACTAGAAGCTGATCTAGGGATTCTAAAAACAACTGTGTCCGACATTTTGACACAGGATCTGTGCATGAAACATGTTCCTGCAAAATTTGTTCCATGGCTTCTGCTACCAGAGCAGAGGGAACCTTGTGCTGCAGTTGCTAATGACTGGATTCAAACTACTACCAATAACCAGATTTCCTCAAGAAGCTCCTAACCTGAGATGAATCATATAGGTCTAGGGGGCATATCCAGAAACAAAGACCCAGTCGTCCCAATGTAAGCCTCCTGGTTCTCCACCTGCAAATAAGATGCGGCAAAATCAGCAAGATCAAGCCCATGTTAACTGTGTTTTTTTGATTGGGAAGGTGTTGTGCATCATGAGTACACTTGTCCAGGCCAAACAATTAATAAGGAGTACTACCTCAATGCTCTTTGTCAGTTGAGAGATGCAATAAGACGAAAATAGCCACAGCTAAGGGCAACTGGTGATTGGCAGCTTCATCATGACAATGCATCTGCTCATGCATCACGACTCCTACAGAGTTTTTTGGAGAAACATCAAATCACCCAAGTGACTCAGGCCTCCTAAAGCCCAGCTTTGGCACCCTGTGACTTCTGGTTTGTCCCAAAACTAAAATCACCTTTGAAAGGGAAGAGATTTCAGACCATTGATGAGATTCAGGAAAATATGATGGGGCAGCTGAAGGTGATGTTTCCAACACAGGATTTTGTGGAGTGTTTTGAAAAGTGGAAGAGACTGGGAGAATTGTAAGAGCTTCCAAGATGCCTACTTTGAAGGGGACTGAGGTGCCATTGTCCTATGTACAGTATTTCCTGTATCTTGTAACTTCTTCAATAAATGCCTCTATTCTTCTTGGTACATGGCTGGATACTTTCTGGACAGACTGTATACACGTGCATCATATATGTATACACATGTGTCTATATGTGTGAAGAGTGCAAATACACATGTATGTAAACATGCATACACACATACGAACACACATACTACAGGTATATACACACATTCGTGTGGTTGCGCGAAGAGGCACAGTGTGTCTACCTACACCTCCATCTTGGCCAGAAGTCCAAAGATTTCTTACAGGAGACACAAAGCACAAGCCATAAAAGAAAAACTTGAAAAATGACTTTATCAGACCTGAGAGTGTCAGCTCTTTAAAAGGCACCAAGACAAAACTAAAGGCAACCCATGGCTGGAAGAAACCATCTGCAGTCCGTATGTGTGACAAGCAGATATCCAGATATAAAAGAGCTCCTTCCACTCAATAATAGTTATTTTAAAAATGCATTAACATGGGAAAAGATCTCAACATAAACATCACAAAAAAACACATAGGAATGACCAATATACAAAAAGAGACGAACAAAACCCCATAGGTACCACTGGTTTAAATTTAAAAAACAGACCATCCCAAGTGTTGGCAAGCATATGGAGCAACTGCCACCTCATACACTGCTGGTGTGAGTATAAAAGAGTGAATTGCTTTGGAAAACTATCAGTTTCTTATAAAGGCAAACACACTCATCTGTGACGACCAATTTCACACTCATATTCTTACTGAGGAGATATAAAAACATATGTTCAAAAACAGACCCATATGAGAAAACTCATAATAGCCAAAATTTAGAAACAAACCAAATATTTGTCAACAGGTGAATGCAGATTGTGTGTATTCAAAACAAAGATTACTGTGTAGTAATAAACAGAATGAATTATTGATGCACTCAGCAAGAAG